GATAGATAGATAGATATATAGATAGATAGATAGATAGATAGATAGATAGATAGATAGATAGATAGATAGATAGATAGATAGATAGATAGATAGATAGATAGATAGATAGATAGATAGATAGATAGATAGATAGATAGATAGATAGATAGATAGATAGATAGATAGATAGATAGATAGATAGATAGATAGATAGATAGATAGATAGATAGATAGATAGATAGATAGATAGATAGATAGATAGATAGATAGATAGATAGATAGATAGATAGATAGATAGATAGATAGATAGATAGATAGATAGATAGATAGATAGATAGATAGATAGATAGATAGATAGATAGATAGATAGATAGATAGATAGATAGATAGATAGATAGATAGATGCAAAAAGGGAAGCTGTCTAATTGTGTAATGCACTATGTCAGCATGTGAACTAATAAATAATGCTACAGGAGGGAAGATGTGAACACACATAATCACCCACGCCAGTTGACAAGATACTTGGTCATAATTATCATGAAGATGTTACATGATGTTACAAAAGCGAACTCCCTACCTGTGGCAGAGCTCTCCAATCCCTTCTAGAGGCTGGACTGTCCCTGCTGAAGATTCTCCATACACGACGAACACAATTGAGGGCTTATGTTCTCGTAAACCCTTCAGACAAAGAGTGTTATATATATATATATATAATTATAGGAAGACAGACAGACAGGGAAACAGGCTATACTATTTCACTAATCTGCCAACTTCCATCATTCTCTTCCGTATATCAGTATAGGATTTATATTCTCTTTCTCACTTGAATTGACAAAGAAAGATTGCATGAATATAATTTTTTCTATATGCTACTATTGCTTGGGCTATTCTACATTTAATTTCTATATAAAAGAAAAAGTATTTTATCGATTTTATTTTATATGGACTTGAGCTTGGACTTTCATCTACTGTTATCAATGTTCCCATGTGTAAAGTTACAAAACGCCAGATTAATTTACCTTTTCTATCTCCTCAATGTTGAAGACTTCTCCAAATGGACGGACAATGATCTTGGCAACACAGTCTAAAATAAAGATGAATGCTCTTTATGTTTTTAGACGCTTAAGATTCACAATGCATGTTATGACTGTCACCATCGCATGTGCTAATACATGGCCATAATTTGACAAAATACTGCCATGAATCAACTCGCGTTGGCTTCCCCAATGTGTCCCTTTTCAGTTAAAGAAAAGCACAAATATATCATCAAGTTCTGAAGAGAATGGTGCAGCGAGTAGTGACAAGGGAATCTGGCTAGCAGGCTAGCACTCAACTATCAGGGAAGGGGCGAGACGCATATACAAGCAGACTGTTACCTGATGCCATCGGAACTCTGTGCTTCCTGCTAAAGATGGGAAGGGAGTTGCGATAGGGATGCCCCAAATGCTTTGACGTGGGTAGTAGTAGTAGTACATTTTATCCCACCAGGACATCACCCAGAGCGATAAACACCCGATGACACAAAGTGCCATCATGCGGATGAAGATCACCCGTGGAGAGGTCCCTGAAACGGCATTCAGCCGTTTGGCCATATTTAAATTGCGGCCCCGGCCCCTGACAAGAGCCAGGGTGGGGCTTCTAAATAATGAAAGACTGCATCCCACAAGAGGATGACGATATACATTGATGTGGGTTATGGACTCTTACTTATAGTTACAGACAATAGGAATGCCTAGATAGTTGATAATATTTCCAATACACTGCAACAATTTATTAACGCTTAGAAAGATAGCTAAAACAATAACTGATTTTGCATTTCAGTTTTAAGGAGTTCCCCCCCCCCCCCCCCCCCTCTCATCCCCCCTCAGTTGTTGCTCTAACATGCATCAGACGAGATACAGTGAAAAGTGCCAGACACCAAATTGTACAATCTATTGTTTGTATCTTCTTTGTTAACATTAGGAAAACATTATTTTGATTATAGTGAGTTTTTGTCAAATTTGTTGTCTTCTCATCCCTACCATATAAAGCAGAAAACTGGGCTTTGCACAAGCAATTATAAAGTGGAACTGAGTCTAATGAGACATCATTATACGGAAAAAGAGGTTTTTTTTTCATTGAAGTGATATCAAATACAAAAGTTAGGGGGACACTGGGAATGACACGACAGTTATTGAAAAAAATGTAATAAACTATAAACAAGTGACAAGTGACAGGACACATCATCATCATTATCATCAAAATCTTTTTTCGACTGGCGTGGGCGATCATATGTCTCCATAATCTGCCATCTTCAGCAGCATGTTTTAGTTCACGCGCTAACACGTCTCCATGTCATGCCATGACGAGAGACTCAAGAATCTTCTCGCGATGACATCCTCTGTCTCTTTTCCCACTGATCTTTACAGTGGTCACAGCATGTTCCAGTTTCTTTCTTCTTATAAAATGACCTAAAGATGATGACTGTCTCATTCTGATGTTTGTGATAAGTTGTTTTCGAGCCATTGCCCCCTTTTTAAAAGCTATAATGCTCTATTTAGATGTCAGAGCAGTTCTAAAGATTCTTCTGTAAAACCACATCTCAGAAGCCACAAAACAATGTTTGGCTTGTTTATTAATTGTCCAGGATTCACAGCCATTTGTTAAAACATGGCTCTACACACCATGCTATAAGACCCCCCCCCCCCCTCTCCTCGTTTCCCTTCTACACGTCAAGTTCCCTTCTACACCAGTTACAAGGCACAACACTTAGTTAAAACACTGGAGGAAATCAGATCAAGCAGACAAGACACAGCAGCAAATATCTGAACTTAGGCGAAAATGATCGCCACACAGAATCGAATTCAATCAGATAGCAAAGAAACCGTCCTCTATAAAGCAGGCCTTCGGGCAGCTGAAAGAGGACAAAGTTTGACATTTTTGTTTGGTTTCTACGATTACGACGACGATTTTGCAAGCCAACAAAGGTTTGACGAAGATGTAAATGAGAGTATTACATCAAGGTATTAATGAACATCATTTTAAGACAGTGCAGTCAGGACAAGAGACAATCTCAGGCAGCCATCCTTTAACGTGGAGACGGTACATGATTAACTGATCTACATTTAAGATACGATTCACCAGGGTCCTTTATTATTTCCCCATAGCCTACCGTGAGGGTTCCGGGTGGGAAGAATATATCCATCTCCATCTAAGAAGCATGTCGTAAAAGTCTGACTAATTAGGGTTCTCTCTTTTGCATGAGAGGCGAGGAACCAATGATCTGCATACAAATAAGCTAGATCCGTAAACTGGACGTGCGCGCAAAACTCAAGTTCTGGAACAAGTCCAAAGCCTAGAACTTTCCACTGGAACTTATAGTCTGTGAACGCGAAGGAAATGAAGAACTATCCCTCATAACATTGTCAACAATGCTAATTGCCTATCTCTGACGATCCAAAGTGTGATATCCTATTCTCTTTGTTTTCTCTTAGCCCGGCTCTCTAGCGTAGTTGGCTAAACCGGATTGAGCGGAGACCGGGTGACGAACTCCTTGTGGTCCGGGTTCAATCTCGGGGCTAGGCAGGAAAGCCACATTTTCTCCCAGATTTACGGTATTTACAATGGAATCAAGGCCGAAAGGTTGCGATATCCATAATACCGAGCCAAAGGGTTAACAACTCATGGCTTCTGGATACTAAAACAAACTTTGTGTTCTCCTACCACGCGTGTGGTGAGTTTCATCGTTTCTATTCTTTTCTTCTTCTGAGACCCTAGTTATAAATTAGTGCTTTGAGGGATATCACAGGGTGTGTCACTATCTCCACGAAAGTCGAATGTGGGGGAAGAGAAGGGATTTATAAGTCTAAAAAGTCAAATTTTCAGGTTCTGAGCGTTACTGGGCAAATAGTTTTAGATAAACAGGTATACAGACAAGCAGACAGACATGCGGACAGAAGTACAGCCAGGTAGGTAGACAGACAGACAGACAGACGAAGCGGGCTATTCTCCGATTAACGGGCACTAAAAATGGCGGCCGCAAAATATCCTTTCGAGCCGCAGTCACGTGTCAATTGCGCACTTCCGGTGACTTCATTTGAGGTTTTCCGGCGACTACCGCCACCGCACCACGTCCCACACGCCGCTCACGCGGCGTGGATTGGGGCTAAACTAGATGGCTAAGACCCACGAGCAGCAGCTTCCGCATCCACTGCAGCTTTGCTCGTGAGTCCTAGCCATCTAGTTCAGCCCCAATCCACGTGCGGGACTCGGTGCGGTGGCGGTAGTCGCCGGAAAACCGCAAATTATCTCAAGTGACGCGGCTCGAAAGGATATTTTGTGGCCGCCATCTTTAGTGCCCGTTATTCGGAGGATAGGCAACGAGGCGATATATAGACACAGAGGCAAATAGAAAAATCACCATAAAGCATGAATTTCCGGGGGGGGGGGGGGAAGTAACAAATGAAACAACGAAACGATACCATTCTGTTCCACCATTCCAGCAAAACGATGACCCCACATTCCATTGGCACACACCAGCGCCGTCTCGCCCGGTTCTAGGAGATTCACTACTGTCGCCTCCATGGCCCCGTTGCCTAGATACCAGCAGAAAGTATTTGTAAGCTATTTTGTGATACGCATACATCGTGACAGTCATAAAATCAGACAATTCTGAAGAAATGAGCAATCTATTTCCATCCAACACCGTGGTTTTTAACATTTTCATGTGACCGCCTCCCCCTCCCCCCTTTTTTACCTTAAATAAAATGTTATAGAAAAGAGGAGGGGGAAAAAAGAAATTTTCAAACACCATTAACATGAACTTATAGAAAGTATATAGATACGTTTCGGTCAGAATGTGTTATTAATACATGATTAAATGCACCTTTTATAATGTTCATTAGATTTTTTCATTAAATTTTCTGGCGAGATACAATCTCAAACACTAAACTACTCGAAGTCACAAACCAAGAAACTTTAGACAATATGATAACCAAGAATAGATGGAAATGGCTTGGCCACGTTATGAGAATGAATCCTGATATACCCGCCAAAACAGCTCTCACATGGACACCAGAGGGAAAGAGAAAACAGGGACGCCCAAAAACAACATGGAGACGAACGATGGAAAGTGAGCTGAGTGCGGCCTCTTTGACATGGAAAACTGCACTGAAGATTGTACAGGACAGGAAAGCATGGAAAGTCCTCTCTGAAGCCTCATGTGCCACTAGGCATAACGAGAACTGATGATTAGATTTTAAACTATAGATGTACATGAAACTGCACATGAGAGCGAAAATGACACTGTTTTTGTGTTTTATATACGGTTAAAAAATCTTATTTCCTCGTCTTCTCCTCCTCCCACTCTCTTCGTTGCCACCTGAAGATAGTTTCAAGCACAGAGCACGCTATAATTCTTGTTAAATACAAAATATATTTAAAAAAAAAAATCTTTCAGTGCAGGAATACACCGGTCACCCTAGTACTGCCTGCTTGCTCGGGAAGAGGCAGGGGATGTACTGATGGAGTTCATACGCCTGGCGCCGCCCCTACATAAACTGGAAAACAAAACATAATATATTAGATTATTACAAGAAAAATGCACTCAATTTCAGAGTTTGAAAACCACCGACCTAACGAAAGAAGAAGCCATAGCAACATGTCCTGAGTGTTTAAGGTTATTAAAGTCATTTCAATGCATCAGGTTAGATCCCCTGTGGCTCAGTCTCCAGGTGGCCTGTCATACTTGCAGAATGGAGGCTGGCAGAGTCCACCGGGACATCCTCTTGTGAATTCCATATGCGTAGACGATGTCCATTTCAGCTTATACTACGATATAAAGATGTCTGCTAGAGGGACTTGTGTGATACAGGTATTGAGGTAGATTCATGGGAATATCATGTAGACCGTGAAGGGACAAAGAAATATAGGAAACATTATTGTAGAAAGGTTGAGAGCTGAGTGGCCGAGAAGTACACGAAATACGTGTAATGGCTACACGGATTCTGCCGTTTCATGCTCTAATTATAGAAGTCTTTTCTGAACGAGAGCGGGTCTTGCTAGTCACACTCGCCATCGCCATGGGATGTAATTCCCATGCCTCCCCATAGCACATTATAATACCACCACCTGAAAGGAAGGAAGGGCGCCAACATCAAAATATCCTAGGTTTTTACATGTTTCTAAACTCCATCAACCCATCACGCAGAACGACTATTCGCCTTCCTTTAACGTCATACAAAGCACGAAATAAATACCCCAGTGGCTATCCCGGGGATCTCCATTAACATTAACACTACCGAACAAAATGAGCAGTCCGTAAAACGAAGCCACGACCTTCAGAGCGCGAGGTAAACGCACTAATTATTTTGCCAGTCTCGTATATCCTTCCAGCACATTGCTGCAGGCTACTCAATGTAGTATGTAGTCAAACATTTAGGGGATACCCTAATGTTAATTTGTCTGGAGGTTCAACGAAGCATAACTTTTGCTCGACTTACGACCTATGCCACTTACGATCATCCGCACTTTCAACCATAGAAAAACAATTATGTTAAAATATTATATTAAAATAAATGAAGATTTTTTAAAATTGTATTTTCTTTCTCCATAGAAAAAATATTTTACGTATGTATGCATGCGAAATTTAATTTGTTGTCCACTGTTTGTACATTATGGTTGGGTTGTATTTTTGTTTAATGTACCCATATAGAGGCGTCGCGAACGCGCTTCGTAATGCCGGGCTGCCGGGTTCGATCGCTGCTGTGGACAATTTGTCTTGCTTTGGTTTCGACAGTGGTAACGAGAACTAACCATTGAGGGAGCAGTGGCAAACTACTGAACGTAAAATTTGTCTAGAAAAACCACAACAGTCAAAAAATGCTGGAGTTGGTTCTGCTTCTTCTTAAAGTTCCTGCCGTGTGGTGTTGGTAGTCAAGTCTGTTCACAGCCTTCTGTCTCGTGACACAGGCTATCTTCCATGCCATGATGTCAGACTGTCCAGCATCTTTTCTCGCGGTTTCCCTGTGCCTCTCCTCCCCTCCAGCTTTCCTACAGTCACAATGTACTCCAGTTTTCTCCTTCTCATCACATGACAAAGAAAGTAAATTGTCGCTTTCTGATATGGGCTATCAGTTCTCTTTGTGAGTCAGTTTCTTTCAAAACATCCTCATGACTATTTGTCCAGGGTATGCTCATCATTAATCTATTAAACCACATCTGCGCAGCTTCCAAAATTGTTTTTCACTAATCAACTAACTGTCCATGATTCACTTTTGTAAATCAAGATATGATTTATATAGCTTTTAAGAATGCTCTTTCTCGTCTCATCTGACAAAGAAAGATTGCATAAATTATTCTTCATTTTGTAAAATGTTGCCTTTGCTTGAATTATTATACACAGATACTTAAACTTATCAATTTGCTTAAGGTTTGTCCTATTTACTTTGATGTTGCATTTTGGAGGGTCAGTTTTCTTTGTAATTACCATTATTTTACCATTTACGTATGCTTGTATGCAGAATTTCATTTGTTATCTATTATCTTAAAGTAAAAAGTAAAGTTCCTTTTTTTTCACGCCTCTAGACGTAGAGGGAATATAGGGCTAGCTTCTGTTTGTATGTTATGTAATTTAAAGTTGTATTTTTGTTTACAGTACGTACATAGCGTGCATATTATGTATTTTCCACATAATATCTAATAAATATACGTACATAGATTGCATTTTTGTGTGTTTTACCTACAATTTTATAAACGGTTTGAATAAAAATAGTGTTGAAAAAAATGAATTCGACTTTCGACCAGTTCGATTTACGACTTGTTAGTCGGAACGGAACACAGTCGTAAATCAGGGAGACTCTGTTTATGGGAGTTTCCCCATTTGGCATCGCCACCTATGATGCGAGTTTTGAAGTTGCATTGGTGGTAAAGACCAGGAAAGACCTTAAGCATGTTAATTGAATCAGTTGAAATGCTCACATGTTTACCCACCGACCCTTTCAAGTATAATGATTACATAACGCCCGGCGTCCTTTAAATCTATATTTAAAAACCGAGCGAACATAAATACGGTGATAAATGTAGAAACATCAAACATCACTATCAGTTGAATTCTGTCACACGACAAACACAGCCGTTGTCTAAGCCCTCAAAACGAATAAATACATTCTGGGAAAGTCTTAGCCCCGGTCATCATTATCATTATATGTCCAAAAGTTATTCTTCATGTCATACGTCTCGAAAGAAAGCTATATTTGTTTATTTCTGTTTCGTAAACAACAAGTTACCACACTACGAAGTTAAATACAGATACGCACCCGTTGCGGAGATAGCAAAAGTCCACTCGTTGTGGGTCTGAAACAGGTAGCGCAATCCCTTCTGCACTTCATCCATTATCTGTAAGCACAAGTACGAACGATGTATACGCTGGATAAATACTTGAACAGCTAAAGTAAGCAACGAAAATTTTTACATGAGACCAAGACACGAAGTTAACTTATCACAAGTATCAGGAGAAGACAGTCATCATTGCAGGGCTGTATCATGACAGGAGAAGGTCTGGGATCCGCTGTAACATTTGAAAACATTTGTGGTTTGAGAGAAATTGCGTTTTGTCAACATTGGACGGAAACAGAAAACTTGTACTGGACAAAGAAGATATTCTGAAGACCATATATGAACGAATGCTGATTAAAAAACACTCGGGATTAAATTAAATAACATGTGTAAGAATGTTAACATGGCATTATAAGTGGATAATGCGAAGAAGGGCGTGTGAGAGAAAGAGAACGACGCGTATATAATCAGTGTGCATCTACAACTTAAGACATTTCCTGCGGGAGACGGAGCATCTATCTTTACGAAAAGTGTGTTATTATGTCGATTCTTAATCAGTAAATCAGGGACGGAAAGGTGTCAGCGTGATTTTAGAGGTCATGAGATGCGGAGAAGCATTAAAATTCGCGCCAGTTATCAGGCCATTTGGTGATGATTAAAAAATATAAACAGGAGAAGAAGCGGTCTGAGAGAAATGACACAGTAGTCTGAGACGGTCTTAAGGAGAAATATAATAAGCATCTGGCTCATGTCATGTAGCGCTGGTAAACAGGATGAGTCGCAGTCCACTTTCACTGTTTGCTTTGTCCTTCTTCCTCTTTTACTTCTTCTCGTTCATTCTCTCCTCCTGCATCTTATTTTTCATAATTTCCTTCTTCGTATTCATCGTCGTCGTTGTCATGATCATAATTATTATCATCATCATCTTCTCCATGATCATCATTTTCGTCTTCTTCTTCTGCTGCTGCTACTGCTGCTGTTTTTTTCTTCTTCCTCTTCCCGATAATTCACCGTTGTATAATTTCATTCCTATTGTTATTACACATTTGTCGCATATCAATACATATAATTTATAACATCAAGGGTGGAGTTCTGCAGAGACATACTTCATTTTTTTTCTTTAAAAGCTGCCGTCGGCGTTTTCAGGTGAGAATGTCAAAGGCTGTGATATGAGGCATGTAATTCATACAGCTTGGTTTCCACTGACATACCAACTGACTAGACCCGGGACCTCTCCACTACAGGCCGGCAGCATGTCTGAAAGACGTGTACTTGATTTTATTATAAAGCCTGTCCACGTGGGCAAAGTTCGGAGTCACCAGTCTTGAATTTCTAGTACAAATGGCTGCAGATTTAGAGATACGAACGCCGGTATCATTTGCAAATAAACACCATTGTGTTTCTGTTTCTGAAAAGACAGAAGCACAATTCACACCATTCATAACATAGAATAGTCGCCAATAATATCTTTGATGAAATTACCAATAGAGTAAAACTTACCACGAATTGAATGGAGACATCACGTGTTCATGTTAAAAGCTTTGTGCTAACCAGCGACTAACTTATGAAACTTTACACGTGCATCCATGTTGAGACCGTACTTTCGCGTTAACCTTATGTTATTTTCAAGTGCATTCGTATTAACGAGGCTTTACTGTACTGTGATAATTTCTAAAAGAAGCGCCCTCACCTCTATCGTCTCAGGTTGACGATGTCCAAGCATTGGCACTTTTCCTGCGGCCAGAACCCTAGGCGAGCAGTTGGACGGTCCAGCTCCCATTAACAGCTTATGTGGGACTGTCAAAGGCTTCAGTAAACTCTCTGGAGGCTGCGAGACTGTTGGAGCCCAAGCTCTAGCAGATGTAGAAAACTTGATTGATTTCTCCAAAATGTTAAGAAAAGAGGCTGAACGCGGTTTCATTTTGGACCCCAGCGTTGAGGAAATCATTCTCCATACAATGCAGGTGGTAATTAGCCTAGATGCCGAGAAGAGCGCTTAAGTCGGTGTAAGTTCATGCAAGTGATGCTTGTTTTAATTCACAATAAGTATGTTTAGTCATGCATGTCAAACTGTACCACTTAATGCACCTATTTTTTTACACGAATACCACACTACACACACTCATTCACACGCACAACACACGCACGCCACAATATGCATACACATACACAACACATACATACACTCTTACGTTCTTGCAATAATTGTGGATAAATAATAGTACATTCGAAACCAACTGTGATGAAGATGATAAACCAGTTGTCTGTTGATCGGACAGTCTTTGATTCGAGTCTCCTAAGCAGTGAAATTCAAGTTGTAGTTTCAGCCATCAGTTGTTCCCAGCACGAACAAGCATGAAGGGGATGTCAGGGCATTTCATGGAAAGTAAAGACGACCGGCGTTAATGTGACCACAGTCAGTTAACCAAGTGTTAGCCCGTACAGAAATATAACACAAACACCACATGTGAAATATGACTCATGCTCAGAGGCGCAGAAACTTGGGAGTTTAGGCATATTGACCCCCCCCCCCCCACACACACACAAAACTTGGACTGGGGGCGTCCAGTTTTGCCCTCTAAATTGTGAGAGGGCTAACCTTCTCCCCTACTCCATCCCATCTCCTTCACACCCCTATGTATAGAAGTTCCCTTTTCAAGCTGTTGTTTGTTTTTCTTCTTTTTGTTGTTGGTATCTGCTTATTCCGCTAGGCGTCGCAGTTCATCAGACGACCGGCAGACGAGCCAGGGCGCGCTCGGTGGCTTGATATGCCGTGATGTTATAGTCTCAAGGTGTCAGTGACTTATTCAATCCATATTCTCCTCGGTCTTCCTCTGCCTCTTGATGTTTCGATTTTCAGGTTGTACGCTCTTGCTGCTGGCATCATTAGTTTCATCCTCTTTAGAGGGCCAAACTTTCATTCTTCGCTTCTCAATAAATTTGACGATAGGTGTTGTTCCAACTTTTTTTTTTTTTTTTTTGGTGTGTGATCACGTCGTTTCTCACTCTCTCTTCTGGTTTATTCACAACCATTCTCAAACATCTCATCTCACATGTAGTTAGTTTTCTCTCGTGATCCTTTGTCAATGTCCAAGGCAGACACTGGTAACCTAATGTCGGTATAAATATTGTTATTACAATTTATATTATTTCAAATATTGTATTATCTTTATTTGACATGCACAAAACTAATTCACTGAAATGTAACCAAGAAGAATACCATCCAGCACATTATACTGACTTATTTTGTCGCCCCTCTTCTACCTTGGGGTGTAGAGGTTTGCCTTAGAGATCACCAGACTTCTCTATCAGCAGTTGTCTTTCTAGCTTTGTTCCATTCCAGTCCTCTCTCAGTCAGAGACTGTCGGATGTTGTCTTTCCAGAGGACCCTGGTTCGCCCATGGGGTCTGGTTCCCTGGTTGTTAGCCTTCTATGCCTGCCACGGTGGCACACACACACACAAACTTATATATATATATATATATATATATATATATATATATATATATATATATATATATATATATGTGTGTGTGTGCGTGTGTGCGTGTGTGTACACGCAGTTGTATGTATGCATTTGTTTCTTGATTATGTTGGGGCTTGATGGTATTGCTGTTGAGCAACATCCAAGTTCGGTATCTAAAACTGGAGTACGCCATCTTTTTTTTCCATTAAAAGACGGTTGGCATGTTGTGTTGCGGTTTATAACTAGGCTGCGATATCACGTCTTTCTGCCCAGCGCATCCAATTTCAGCAACCCTTAATCCGCGGCTTTTACGACATACTTATTAGGGGGCAGTGGATCTTTTCTATCCCTCGATGGAACCCCAGGACCCATATGGTCGACAGTCGAGTGAGAAGGCAAGTTTCAACAAGAAAGAATTTGTTGTGAAACGAAACAAAATATCGAGTTAACATTTTTACGTGGCTGTTGTTTTCGCTAGTTTCAAGATGGCGCCCTTTGAGATGAGGAACGTGAATACTTTTAGCTTGATGTCAAGGCCTTTGATCGGTCAATTAAATATATTATAGTCACTTCGTGTGGATACTTAGATGCTTCAAACAAAGACGTTATCTGCAATAAAGAGCCCCAATCCACTTGCATAAATTACATACGAAATTATGTCGGAAGACGCTAGCCAAAATAATAAGCTTTCGGAGAACTCTTCTCAGAATGGCAAAAATGAGTTATTTTCTCGATACATTCCTCAGCACCCATTGCCAGAGGAAATTAGGAATCTTGGCAGAGATAACACGGTATATAGCAATAAAAGAAAAATCTATTTATTTAATTATTTGTTAACTACAAGATAAAGATGTTTGGTATTTTAATTTATTTTATGAGAATGAATCCAGTGCTGCCAGCAACGAGAGCGTACAACATGAAAGTTAGAGTTTAAAGTCGAGAGGATCGACTTCATTGCACCGGGTTTTATCCCATATGGCTTGGTCCATCTCCACAGAATGGCTAGGTACTTGCCGAGAGCATCGTACAATGCACGAACTCCGTAACTCCAGCGACGATTCCCCAGGGATCTCGATAAAAATTGTACTCGTGAACTGAACGGCTTGCCCGTGAAATGAACCCATGCTCTTCAGAGCGCGAGGCAAATGGCTTGACCACTTCACCACGGAGACCCCCAAAGTTGAAGTATAAACTCCAAGAGGTACGTACGACCAAGCAAAACAATGGATTAAAGGAATCACTGATTGCTTGAGACTCCACGGCATCCTGGGAAACCAAAAACAGATCATCTGTTAGTTTGTGATACCTAGTGGTATAAAGCAGAATACGGATAATAGAGAGAAAGAAAGTAAAACATAAAAGTAAAGCTAAAGGACTCTTCTCACACCAGTGGCACGTCAGGCATATGATGCTACAGGCTCATATTTTTTATAGACTAATCACACAGGCCACCTTTACTGCCCAGAACATTGTCTGTTACCCATTTTAGGCTGGGTTGACATGGGAGCCAAAGTCAGTTAAAAATAAACTACACCACAATGCAGATTTCAACCCAAGACCTTTGTGTTGGCAGGCAAACATCTAGGTAAAATTAATATTATCTGAGATATTTAAAGGCAAGGTAACAGAAACATTAGTCAAATTATTTGGATTATCATTAAGAAGGAAAAACAAATACAGACAATCTACAAATCCTAAACATTGAGAGAATCCTCTGGTGTTTTGCCTGTTGTAAAAAAAAAATGTGAATGCAAAGAACCCATTTCATACTATTGGGGTATTGGGTGTTTGGTACTTCAGTAGAACCTCGCTTAACGAGCACCTCTCATAACGAGTAATTCGCATAACGAGCAAATCAAATTGTAAAAGAATGACTCGCTTAACGAGCCACTTTTCGCATAACGAGTGGCGAGGAGAGGGGAAGTCCTGAACTGTGCGCATGTTACATCAGTCTGTGTTTAGCACTTGTTCCAGTAGCATCGTAGTGTCGCTTGTGATCACACATTTTCTCAAACTTGTGTTATATTGTGATATATGTACATTAATCCTCCAGGCCTACAACATGACCTCCCTGAAGAATTTAGGTTCATCAAGATCCAATTTCTGCCTCCCAACACCACTCCGTTACTCCAGTCCATGGACCAGAAAGTTATTTCTAACTTTAAGAAGCTCTACACTAAAGCACTCTTCGAGCATTGTTTTCAGGTGACTAAAGGGACCAACTTCACTCTCAGAGAGTTTTGGAAAAATCACTTCCTCATCGTTCCCTGCCTCAAAATTATCAACAAGGCGGGTGGGGGGGGGGGGGAATTTACAAGTGAACCCTAACTTCTGCTTGGAGAGCGTTGCCGATTTGTGACTTTGAGGGATTCGAGACAGTACCCGTGGGACCTGTAGTTAATGTTTTTGGCCACTATCATGGGTTTGTAGGTGGATAACAGTGATTTCGAAGAGCTTGTGAAGAGCACAGCCAAGAACTGACTACCCAAGAGCCTATGGAGTTAGTTGCATTGTGTTTCACAGCAAGAAGTTTTGGAGGAAAGTTTGTCAGAAGAGGAGGCAACAGAAAAGCAACAATCTTCTACTTTTTTTCTGCAAATCGCATTCGCATTCCAGGTGGGTTTGTTCCGCAGTGGAAGAAAAAATAAAGATGATTCACTCTCCTTGACAATATGTATATAATTTTCTTTGAACAAACGTTATACATAGCATTTTGTGAGTATTCTTTTCAACATGGAATGCATTATCGTATTTTAAATGAATTTATATGAGAAAAACTGTTTCGCATAACGAGTGTTTCGCTCAACGAGTATGATTCTGGAACGAATTATGCTCGTTAAGCGAGGTTCCACTGTAGATCCCTATTTTTATTGGCTAGTCGATACCTTCTGGGGTGATGTGGTTATAATCATCCTGGCCGCCTTGAATTCCCAGGACATTTTCTGGTCCTAATTTTAAGCTAAATTGTTCTGTGAGCCTTAAGCCAATTAATAAAATCCATCCCAGTAAGAAATCAAACTCAAGATCTTCGGGCTGGCAGGCAAGCAGTTGGTCACTGTGCTACTCTGGTTCCATACTGTACATTCAACAACACAAAAGTATAAGAAAGAATAAGTCGGGATTGTCAGACAAATTATAAATAGAAATAATCTTCTTTCCTAATGTTCTCCCTGCCAGTGGTTTTTCAGACGAGAAGGCCAAAGGCCTCTATGAAATCTGTTGTACGATTTATGCCTTCCACTGTTCCATACAGCTTGATTTCCATTGGAATGCCAGCCAGCCAAACCTAGGATCTCTACTGTAGGAAGAGTGAAACTGATATTTTAGGTAATGCTAGCTTGACAGGATGAGTGGTCTTGAGGTATGGTGTCCGCCTTGAGTGCTTGAGGTCTCGGGTTCAAGCCTTGGTGAAGGCTGGGATTTTTAGTACATGGACTGCTGGTAATTTCCCCTGGTCGCTATGTAATAAGATCAGACGCCCCTGTGTATTCTTGTGCATGTAAAAAATCCCTTGGCAGTTGGAGATTGAAAATAGTAGCCCAAGGTCATAAAAAAAATCTACTCAAGGTATTTCAGGATCCTTGCCGGTGCAACAGAGTTCATGCACTGCGCTGAGATTCTTCGGACTCAGACTTGAGTTAGTAGTAGAAGTAAGCATCTATGGGTTACACCCGTGTGCCATGATGTTGATCCGTTAAATAAACATAAATATAGCTTTGATAGAAACCAAAGTAAAGGACCATTGTCATAGTTTTGGCACATTGGACATGTAACTAGACGTTTATTTTTATTGACCAATCGGCACTCGATGAGTGATGTGATCAGTATTATGTTGGCTATTTTTACTTGCCGGGAAATTTCCTGGTTCTCATTTTTAGGCTGGGTCAACCTGAGAGTCAAGGTCAATTTAATCATTAAAAAAAAAAAAAAGTATGAATCGGTTCGGTTTTGAACAGCTTTGGAAGAGAAGTATGCAAATTTCAGTGAATTAGGCGAGAAAAAGATATTAGCACTGACAGGATACATTTTGAGAAAACCTGATAATATTATAACCCCAAGTACTTTAAATACAGGACTTCATTCATGTAGCAGGTCCTTTGCAGAACGTAGCTCTCCTCACAGTCTGCCTGTAAGAAACTCGGTCTCTTGCTAGTTCTCCCGCCTCATGAACTTTCACACTCAAGGAGTCACTTATATCCTGTACCCATCTTCGTGTCGGTCGGCCCCTGCCCCTCCTCCCTGGTACCATGCCTTCTGCTATCATTTTTTCCAATCTGTTGTGGCGTTTGATATGACCAAAATATTTCAGCTTAGCCAATCTTCCTTCATGTTCAAATCTTTTTAGATGTCAATACAGAACTAAAGAAATTAAAAAAACACATATAGAGAAACGAATTATAAAGGTGCATAAGATGGTTGAATAGAATTACAAAAACACACAGATATAAATAGGTTAAAGAATTACAAAATGTCCCTAAGGTTTCAAAGCATGAATTCTGGAAGTGTTCGTATCATTGGGTAGAAAAACAACAATAAAATGGTATTGACATGAGGTGAGCTGTATGGGATGGCAAAGGATTTGAAGGTTTGGCACTATTTGGTTCTTTTTAATGTTCCCCAGCTGTAAACTCCAGTAGAAAGTTTTGGTTGTTCATCCACTTCTGGACTTCAGTCTTGTTCCATAACTTGACATTTACATACGCTTTCTTTTTACAGATCTGGCCAATTTGTATGCAGACATTTGGTTCCTCTCCTAACATGCAGTTACTCTCCCACTTCAGAGGAAAAGAAATCACAAATTAGTCGCCTTTTATGAACTTCCAAATAGGAAGGCTGTGGATTTATTCTTTTTTTTTTTTCTCTCCCAAAATGAGGCTCCGGAACGCACATGGGGAGCATGAGTTCAAGACCTATGCTTGACGAAAGGAAGAAGGAGCAAAATAATGCTTTACTGAATAGTTTGATTGTCTTGTATACACAGATCAAAATAGTTATGTTGTTGGATATGTTACTAGGCGAGTTTATGGAACAGGAGGCCATGGATCACACTAGATTGAGGGGATATTTAGCAAGAGAATAGAGACAAAGGGGAAAAAGGTTACAGACAGGTCTTCAGTCTTGTTCCAGAACCTGAGTTTTGCTTGAATATCCATTTTACAAATTTGGCTTGTTTGTAAAAAGACAGTTGGTTCTTTGCCTCTCCAGCAGATGCACTCTGACTTTGAAGAAAACACCCCTGATCCGTTGACTTTTATGACATGTTGGTTAAGGAGGGCAGTGGGTCTATTAACCAATCCCCTTCAAATGGGACCACCAAACCCATACAGGGAAAACAATTGTCCTAAAATCTCATGCACTTTTTGTGGAGAATGATTCCAATTGCAAACTAGTCTTGATAGTCATGCTCTCCATCACCATGTGTTGTGATTCTCTGCCTCTCTTAAGGGGGGCAATATAACGCTCATCATCATAAATTTCAGCTTTAGCTATTTTATGTCATGGTGAGGAACATTTTGTGAGCCAGTGCTTGATGGGTAGCGAAGGCTGTTATCATTCAATGTCGATGTATAAGTTCTTTAATGTCTTCAGTCCATTTTCTTTTAAGTCGACCTCTTGCCTTCACCTCAGATTATTTCATGTGTAGCGCCGGTGCTGGTAGTCATTGTGATGACCAAACTATTTGAACTTCTATAGCAGTATTGGAAAGACAGAAAGCTGCCAATATGTATTCACACTATGCTTTGATGAACTATACTTACAGGTCTGCAGATACTGTGGAGTAAGTTACCTCATCCACAATGAAATAAAGATTCTAGAGGAGAAACTGAAAGATGCAGAAAAGGAGCTCGCCTTCTTCAGAGGTCAAGAAAATAGGGAGGAACTGCTTAAACAGGAAAATGCTCTTCTAAAACAACAGAAGGAAGATCTTCAGTTTTCCTTAGATACACATTCAAAACTGTAAGTATTGAAAAAAAAAATAACGCTGAATGTTAGATATTAAATCTGTCAACAACCCTTTTTCTCATGCACTATCAATCATTTCTGATGCAGCTATAACTGCTGTTATGACATCAAACTGTCTGACAGCTTTTTCTTGATAGTTTGTCTAGAAAATTTACAAATACAGTTGTATTTATTAATATTATGTAAAGAACATTGACTAGTATGTTACCAAGATATTTGACTAATTGTATGTTAAAACAAATTCACAAATACTTTGTCAAGAAAATCATTATTTAGACAGTAACTCCTAATGATCAATACCTATTTATTTATTTTAAAAAAATATTATCTTGCATACACCTTCAGGGTCATCCTAAAAACAGATTTTCAACCCCAGGTACTGTGGTGCACCAGTGAACATGCAACGATAGCCACAAAAACACTACAGCGGGCTACAAATGCACTTGAGGCATGGGCCAATAGATGGTGTGTCAGACAAATGTAGCACCAGACTCTTCACCCTCTCCCCAAAGCAAAAAGCGGGCATCATCAAAATAAACAGAATACTCCTAAGAGATGATAAAGAGCCCACGTACATAGGAGTCACATTTGATGACAGGTTGACATGGAGAAAACATATCAACAAGGCAGCAACCGAAGCCAAGAGGAAGACAGATACTAAGAAAACTAAGTGGAACCACATGGGGAGCAGATGGGAAAATACTCAATAGAGTATACAAGCAGATCATACTTCCACACTTGGAATATGGGTCAACTGCATGGTGTTCAGCATCTAGTACTACATTAAAGGAGTTGGACAAAGTGCAAAATCAAGCGCTCAGAGTCATCACAGGAGGGATGAAATCAACCCCCATATTAGAAATGGAGAAAGCTGGGAAAACACAGGCACTGAGAGAATGCAGAGATACAAAGTTGCAAATACAAGCTGAAAAGTTCCTCAGTATGCCAGATCACCCCATGAAAAATAGATTTCAGAACCTAGCCTTGGGATGGTTAAAAAGAAGCAGCTTTTTACACCAAGCAAAAAGAATATGTAGACAAACTACTTACCTTCCAGAAATTGGTTGTACACTTAAAAGTATTCCGGAACAAACCCCACGGAGAGAAAAATGCAAACTAACAGTACAAACCCAGACAAATGTGAAAGGAATATTTGACAAGAAAGAGCAAGATAGTGTACAATGCAGAATGGCCACCCTCAGTTATATTGATGAAGAATACCCACAAGAACAATGGGTCAGAATCTATACAGATGGGTCCGCACAAAGTGCAGTTAGAAATGGTGGTGCTGGAGTGTACATAGAATTCCCAGATGGTACAAGGATAAGTCCAGCGTACCAACCGGAAAGTACTGCCATAACTATGATGCAGAAACTCAGGCTATCAAGATAGCAACAGAGAAACTGCTAAATACCAATCTTGGCTCACAGTATGTGGTAATGCTGACAGATGCTAAATCCGTTTGAAGCACTCCAGTCTAGGAAACTACCAGAACTGCAAACACTGCTGACACAACTCAGCCTTCAGGGAAGAGTCGTAATGCAGTGGATACCGTCTCATTGTGGATTGCCTGGAAATGAGAAAACTGATCAACTGGCAGGAGAAGGTGCGACAAAAGTGCAGCCGGATGTACCAGTCACACACCACCAAAAGAAAAGAATCATTAAATCGACCAGGAAACCACCAGCCCCAGCACAAGATAACTTTTTTATTATTATGGACAGACCAGAACAAGTCATTATCCTCCACCTCAGAACAGGGCACGACCGATTACGTAACCACATGTACACACAATTCAAGATAGGTGTATCAGCTATGTGCACCTGTGGAAAGGTGACCCAGACAGCAGAGCAGGTACTCCAGGACTGCACTGAATTTGACACATTAAGGCAAACCTTTTGGCCAGAAAGAAAAACAGAGAAACGTAAACTCTATGGACCACTGAATGAACTAACAACGACAGTGAAATTTATACAAGAGACAAAACTGCTGATATAGACAACTTATTTCAGGTGAACAAAAGAAGAAGAAGAAGAAGATTTTCAACCAGGGGCCTGGCCAGTGTTGATAAGATCAATGTTTCCTTGAAAACTAGTAAAATTGCATGACAAGTGATGAACCAACAGTCTGCACACAAACAAGCCAGATGTGTACAACAGATGGTCACTCAAAACTCAAGACCTAAAACAAAATCTCAAAATGGACAGACAACCAGGAATTTTCATTGGAGTTGACAGCTAGTGAATAAGAAGAAGTAGGTGCCAAGGATATCGATTGATTCACTTAGGCTCTTCAGTAGATCAATCTGTACTGCAGTGGATTCCAGGTCACTGTGGCTTGGAAGGCAATGAAATTGCGGACAGATTGGCCAGAAGCGGCAGTGACACAGTACAACCAAATAGCGACCCAACCCACCAAGAGACGAAAACATTAATACAATCTAGTATCCAGGAAAGGTGGCTGGATACACACACCAGATTTTCTCCCCAAGACTCACTTCATCACCTCTCTAGAGAGGGACAGTGTATTATATTCAGACTAAGGACTGGGCACAACAAATTTCGTCAACATATGTTCAAATTTGTCGGTGTAGAAAATACGGAGACGTGTCCCTGCAGCGTGGCACCTGAAAATGCTACAACACTGTCAACTGTATGCTGACAACAGAGATGCAATCTGGCCTGCTCCAACCACAATGAAGACAAAACTGTATGGTACAGGAGAAGATATGCTTTCATAAAGGCTACCGACCTCCTGATATAAGTTTTCTGACAGAAGGATCGAAGAAGTGAAAGACTGTATGACAAACGTTGACTAAACATTGACTAATACTATGTTTTAAAAAAATATACAATATTTTACTTGGCATATTCATACAAACACTGTGCTACCAGTATACTTTGTCAAGAAACTTGAATAACTTTTAACTTTCCTTAGTGTTCAATAAAATGTACAAATTAACCCCTACAGATAATGTAGCTTGGGAAGAAAGAAAGGTCCTGCCTGAGTGGCAACAGGCATTAATAGTACTGTTATGGAAAATGAAAGGTAATAGGAGAGAATGTGAAGCATACAGAGGTATATATATCACTACTGAGTCACGTAGGAAAAATGTACGCCAAATTACTAGAACAGAGAGTTAGACTCATAGCTGAACAACAGCTGAGTGCATCACAATTCGGTTTCAGGAAAGGCAGAGGTTGCACAGATGCATTATTTACTCTGAGGCAAGTTTGGGAGAAAGCCATTGAGTATAACACCAAACAGAATATTGTGTTTATAGATCAGGAAAAAGCTTTTGATAGAGTGGAAAGAAACAAACTGTGGTCTGTTCTTGAGAACTACGGGGTACAAGGACAGTTACTAGAGAACATCATAGCCATGTACCACACAAGCCAAAGTGCAGTAAAAACACAAGAAGGCATATCAGATATGTTCACAGTCAACACAGATGTGAGACAAGGATGTTTGCTCTCCCCACTTTTATTTAACATCTATATAGACAGAATATCTAAAGAAGCAAGTTATGATAAAGACAACATAGACCTTTATAATCATGAGGAAGTACACACATCAGGAGAAGTAATCGATTCACTCACATTAAACAAACTAATATTTGCTCATGACCAGTGCTTGTTCTACCCTTAAGAAGATAAACTGCAAGACCACATTAACTGGTTAAACTCAGCATGGAGTAAATACAACATGAAGATCAATGTAAACAAAACCGAAACAATGCAAGTTAGTAGAACGCCTGCCCCACTACACATACAGCTGAATGGTTCTGCCCTGAATCAAGTAAGGGAGTTTAAATATCTAGGAAGTATGATCACAGAAGATGGTAGAATTGACAGAGAAATAGAAACCAGATGTCAGAAAGCAAGTGCTTATATACCAATTGTCACCATTATTAAGACATCCATGCATAACTATGAGTACAAAAAGACAGATTATTAATAGCATATTCATTCCAACATTAAGCTATCAGTGTCAGACATGGACACTATCTAAAGTCCATATATGCAAAATCACTACCTGCAAGATGAGGTGCCTGAGAAAAGCAGCCAACCTAACCATACGAGATCAGGTGAATAATGAAACTATCAGGCCAATTGTGGGAACGACACCTTGTACTAGATTTATGGAGAAACAGCAGATCAAGTGGTTTGACCATCTCGTTAGAATGCAGCAAGATCAAATACCATCACAAACACTACATCTCAGAAGATCAACTACAAGAGCAAGATGGTGGCCACAGAAAATATGGATCGACAACATTAAAGACACTCTACGCCTTCACGGCATGACAGTAGCCAGTGGCAGCCAATGTGCACTGGATCGCAAATTATTCCTCCCCATGACGCTTAACGGCAGAAGTGGTTTATGATGATGATGATGATGATGGTAAGCCCTTTACAGATTAGCCTCGAACATATTTGTTAAGTACAGAATGAAGTCGGCATCTGTGGCTTAGGCGTTGCGAACATGCTTCGAAATGCCAGGTTGCCGGGTTTGTTCCCAGCTGCAGGCCTTGCGCTAGTTTTGACAGTGGTGTCGAGAGCCGACCGTCCTGAAAACAATGACAAACTGCTGGACGTAAATTTGCTTAGTAAAACTACAACAGCCTAACAGTGCTAGGGTTGGTTCTGCAATATTCTCTAATGGATATGCAACTAGCTTTTTAACAGAATGAATCTGACTTGTTCTCTCCCCAAGCTCAGGGTTAGTGATTCTAGCATACCAGAACTGAATAATTAATGTTATTAGTCGATTCATACTGTTTGGAATTCATAGTTATCTATCAACAGCCTTCTGTCTCGTGTTTTTTCAATAATTTCTGACACAGATGATCTTTCATGTCATGATGTAAAACTCCAGAATCTTCTCTCTCAGTCTCACCAGAAGTTCAGCACGTAAGACGGACCTGTTTGCCCAATTCTTAACCCTTTGAAAATAAACTTTGTTTGTTCATTCACTCGTTCATTCATTCTGCCCTTTTTCTTCTCTATCTTTCCCACCATCCTGATGTATTCCTGTTTTCTCCTTTTCAATACGCTACCAAAGAATGTAATTTGTCTCCTTCTGATGGGGGTAATCAGTTCTCTTTTTATCTGGGCAGTGTTTATCTCATTCAGTATCAGCCAGTGTTTGTTTGATTCTGCTTAAAAAATGTGCTCTCTTAATATATGTGTGTGTGTACGCGCGCGGACTGCTAAATACATTTTATATAACATTAAACTCAGTAACACAATTTATTTAATTTCATTAATTGAACATCCCCCCTCCCCTTTTTTTTCTTTTGCACTGCAAAAAGTGGTAAATACAGGCAGTAATTGGAAATTGACGATGTCTGAAAAGAAACTGACTCACGAAGAGAACTAATTGCTCACATCAGAAGGAGACAATCTACATTCTTTGGTCTGACACAAAGAATACATGATGGCTTCCAGAATAAGAAACACACAGTGGCAGTCTTTGTCGACCTCCAGCAGGCCTATGACAGAGTATGGAGAAAAGGTCTCCTGATGAAGATGATGAGCATTCTTTGGTCATGTGATGAGAAAGAGAAAACTGGAGTGCATCATGACAGTATGAAAGTTGGAAGGGAGGAGAGGCAGAGGGAGACCGAGAGAAAAGATGCTGGACAGTTTGACATCATGGCATCATCTGTGTCAGAGTTGATTGAAAGTACACGAGACAGAAGGTTGTGGATGACATGACTACCAACGCCATACTGCATAGACTTTAAGAATAATAATTAGTAATTTGTAGTTTTTGGCCTACAATGACTGAAGTTGTTTAAAAAAAAATATCAGCTATGTATGTTTATTTTACCCAGAATGACTTCTCTTAATGTTGAAATTGAAATGTTGAAAGAGCAGAATAGAAAGTCAGAAGAATCAGTTACATCTTACAGGTAAGTACATCAATGTCAAGGAGGCTTTTCTGTACTTGAGACTATTAGGTAGAAGGGCTGGCCACATATTTTATAGTTCAAATGGCACTCAGTGGATGATGTGGTTAGTATTGTTCTGGTCAGTTGGATGATGTGGTTAGTATTGCTCTGGTCAGTTTTACTTCTCAGATCATTTTGTGATTCCTGTTTTAGTCTTGGTTGACCCAGCAGCTTCCACTCTGGTTAAAAATAAATTCAGGATTCTTGCAGGTGCTATGGAGTTCGCTCACTGTGCTGAGATTCTTTAGACTCTGGCTTGAGTTAAAAGTAGAATGGAACACTTATTGGTTACTACTCTTGTGCCATGATGTTGATCCTTTGTATAAACTAAACCAAACATAAAAATAAATCCTCACAAAGTTAAGGTTTTCAACACAAGATGGCAAGCTTGCTAGTTACCGTACAACAATGGCTTCTACCCCTTCACAGTCAAACTTGTTTTCTGTTTTTAATTCTTAAACCCTTTTAGTCCTTGATGGAAATTACTTCAAAACTGTCTATTTTAAAGTTGACATACATTAGAATGATGGTCGTTGAGTCATAATATGTTTAGCTAACACAGCTATGGAACACACAGAGTAACAATAATGATTAGAATAATGTGGATTATTGTTACGTAAGATCTGGTCAAAATGAGTTAAAGAAATGTATGTTATCAATTTAGTAATAAATAAATGTATGGTACGTTTCTGGTGCTGAGTTAAAGTAAAAGTAACATACTTTTTTCACAAATTAGGTGCACTGGACATATAGTGCTAGGCCTCACTTCAGTTTTGTATAGTCCAATTGGCATTCAATGCCTACTGTAGGAAAGATACTCATTTTAGGCTAGGTCGACCTAGGAGCAAAGGTGATTTTTGAAGACTAATCTGCTTTGATGTGGATTTGAATTTTAGACCTTCAGACTGACAGGCAAAGGTCTAGCCTCTACACTAATACGGCTGCCTTCCTTCTTTGTCTTCTGCTTTTTCTTACATTCATTATCTCTATACTTTATGAATGGCTGGCCTAACCTTCATCTTTATGGTGGGTGATGTAGGTGTTCAAGGCTAGGAGCATGCAGATTATCTTGCATACACTGCAGTTGATATGGCTGGTCTCTTAACTGGAACAAAGCACTAGGTCTTTACATAATATTAGTAAATAAAATTCAGATTGTATTAGTAAATTTTCTTGGCAAAGTATCAGGTAAAGCTGTCAATTTGACTTGATCAGAGTGATGTTATAAATGCAATGCGCATTACTTATTGCAAAGATGAATACGGCAAAGGGCATGACTCCGTATCCCTGTCCAGGCTGATAGATGGGAGGGGGGGGGGGGGACCTGGAGCTGCATAAAATGAATATTTCATCAAGGGGCAAGACATTTTATAAATCAACACAGAACAGGAGTTATCAGTCACTTTGCACTTGTGGAGCTTTTGAGGAAGAGACCAGAGCACCTGTGGATCTGTCCAGAGTGCTCTGATGATAATCCTCACTAATCACTAACTGTCCTTTCTTTCTTATTTCCCTCAAATCCCTAATATTCCTCCCCCAGTCGTGAATCAGCTTTCTACTTTTTTGTCTTCCTTCTTCTTCTTGTTTTTCTTTCATTTGCCCAAAATATATTATTTATGTCTACAGTGTTGTCTCTGGCAATAACTTCACTGTCTGTTGCAATTCACTCATTGACTCGTAAAGTTTGGCTTCAGCAGGTGTTTCTCTTGGCCAGAAGTTTTGCCTTTGTTCTTTTGTTTCTAGTTATGACCACGATTGGCTATAGGCTGGTCTTGACCACTATGTTTGTCCTGGTGAATAAGCACCTGTACCTCCCATTTTGGAAGAAGTGGCCACACATGCGGTAATAATTTCAGACTCTATGAACATGCTTCAGAAAATCACTACAGGTAGAATATGCTCCGAATGGGTAGACAGCATTCGGAAGTCGCAGTTAACCTCCATCATCTGGATCTACACACCTGGGCACGCAGGAGTAAATGGTAATGAAAGAGCTGACCAACTGGCAAGAAACGCATGAAAGCAGATGGGAAGAAGCATGGACAGAGCTGACATCATCAACACTGTACGTACTAGGTTAGGGGATATTGTCGAATCTATGACACTAACATGGCTGCATGACCAAGGAGTTAAGCTTGGTGAAACATGACTATGCCGTCTTCGAGGAAAAGACAGGAGATTTTATAACCAACTACTCATGGGAACGATCAGTAGAGGAATTTGGGAGTGGCTGCTTTATCGGCGGACTGAGCACGCATTGGATGCTCAATGTGCAAAGACGTCGATTGTGATACATAACATTTGGAAAGAATCAGTTAAAGTAACAAATGTCTGGGACTCAAAGAGTCACACGTTATCCCCCCAAAAATTAATTGCGAGATTTTATCAATTAAAATTTTAATCTGTGGTTTGGTTATTTTGTTTCAGGAATAAGTACATGACCTCTCTCAGACAGTTTTCTAACCTTAGTCAGAATGTGAGGCAGCAAAGACAGTCTCTCCAAGAAATCAGAGAAAAACTGACCAGGGGTCAGTCAGATATGTCAAAAAGCATGCAGTCCTGCTTAGACTCTGTGAAACAGATTTGTGACGCTGCAAAAGAAGGTAAAGAGAGATAATTATAAACAGAAAATAGTATGCTTAAGTTACACCCTCCACCATTGTCAAACCTCATTTTGTCATGAAACAGATATCTGGTCCTCAGAATCGGTGAACGGAGGCTGGTGATATCTGCAGCAGTGAACCTCAAGTGCTTGGGATGCTGAAGATGATGTTTAAGTTGTATATCCTTTACAGGATTGCAAACCAGCTGCAGCATTTGTTGGCTGTTTGTGGTTATTCTATGGGGCTTTGCATTCTGAATAGTTTAACACTCGTACTGTTGTCAAAATCAACGCAAAGCTGACTGCTGCAAAATTGTCTGCTGCTAAATTGAACCTGGTATTTTAGGTTTATGAAACTGCATTTATAATCCATAATCACAGATGCTGACGGGAAGTCATCCTTACCTGCACAAGTCTGTAGGTTACACCTGGCTGGTGTCACCATTACAGGTGCCAAAAAGCACTATTCACTTTCCTTTTCAGGATGAAATTTTTCTTTATTTGAAGCCCTACTCTGGCTCTTGCCAGGGGCCGCATTATAGCCAGGCCATAAATATGGCCTAGTGGCTGAACGCGGTTTCAGGGACCTCTCCACAGTGATCCTCATCCACATGGTGGCACATTGTGTCATCGGGTATTATATCGCTTGTGTGATGTCCTGGTGGGGTAGAAAGTCAGTCAGTCAGTCAGTCATTCAATCAATCAATCAGGTGCCGTCTCCACAATGAAGGTTGGCTGCAATGGATCTCCAACAAGCCCTGTCTCTTGCCCTTGATGTACACTCACTCATACTGCTGTTCGTCCATCTCTTGAAGTTATCCTCCCACTTGTAACGCTGTCTGCCTCTTGCTCGCCTACCTTGAACCTTTCCCTCTAGGATGATCTTTACAATACTGTTATGTCTTTTAATGTGGCCAAAATATTTCACTTGTCTCTTTTTTTTTTTCACCTAGCAACTCTCTTTTCATTCCCAATTTCCTCAGTACCTCTGTATTTGATAGCTTTTGTTTCCATGAAATACGACCTAATCTTCTGTATATCCACATCTCCAAAGAATTGATACGATTTTCCAGTTGTTTGTTCATTGTCCATGTCTCTGTGCCATACAGTAAGGTTGATAATACATAACATTTGACAATTCTCATTTTATTTGTATTGCTTATTTCTCTTGATGTCAGTAACTTTTGCATGTTGTTGAAAATGTTTTTGGCCACCCCTATTCTTTTCTTGACTTCTATTTCACTTCTGCCGTGTTATTACTTGTCCAAGATATAAAAAATTTTAAACTTGTTCCAATTTCACCCCGTTCACTGTGATATTCATTGTTAGCTGATTATTTTCTTTGCTAAATATCATGGTTTTTGTCTTTTTCAAATTAATAACTAATCAAAATTCTGCACTCCTTCTGTTTACTTGCTCCACTAGGTCTTGCAACTCCTGCTCACTCTCTGCTAGTAACACTGTGTCGTCAGCATATCTCAGATTGTTTATTATTCTGCCATTGATGTGCAGTCCTGGTAATTCTACAATTTCTTTAAAAAATGGTTTCTGTACATAAGTTGAAAAGGCTAGGCAACAGATCACATCCTTGTCTTACTCTTCTCTTGATCTCTATCTGGGGTGAGCAGACGTTGTCATATCTTACTGTTGCTTCTTGCTCCCAGTATAAGTTTCTAATAAGTCTGATATCCTTTCCATCTAGTCCTATGTTTCGACGAGCTGCAATTAGTTGTGAATTATTGTGAATTAGGTGAAGTATAGTATACAGGAAAGTGCCTGTTTGTGCGCTTCATAAATGGAAATTCCCAATGACTCTGTTATTCCCTATCTATCATTTCATGGTCAGCCTCTGCTTCACTTCCTGCCAGATCTGAACATCATTGCTTACAGTGGTATAGGGTTTGTTAGCATCAGTGTTATATGGCCAAACCATTTCACTTGTTTATTTTCTAATAAAAAAATGAAAAACTAGTCAGTCCCCACAAAATCTTTTAATTGGCCAACCATCATTTTAATCCAGTCAACAACATGCCACAGGCACAACAAAAAAAATATTCCACATGAAATCCACAGCTCATAGTGTCGCATTCTGTGTCGCTCACTTAATGTCCTCCTCATGACACCGTCTCATATTTTCTTCTCAGTTTTTTTTTTTTAATTTTTATTTTGCTCTGTGGCATCTAAAGAGACAGTCTACATTTTTGGGTCACATCATGAAATTGACAAACAGGAATACATCGGAGCAGTGGGAAACTTAGAGGAAAAAAGGGCCAGAGGGAAACTGAGAAAAAAGATACTGGACAGTTTGACAACATGGCATGGAGGATCATCTATGTCAGAGTTGATTAAAAATACATGAGACAGAAGGATGTGGATAGACATGACTACAAACGCCACATGGCATGGACTGTTATAAGAAGAAGGGTTTCAGTGTAAGGGTATTCTTGTTAATCTATTGTCAGGTTTTCTCATTATTTGTCCTATCCAGCGTCAGAATCTTTTCCACAACTTCTAAACCTCTGTCCTCAGAACACTTAAAAAAATTAATAAAAGGGCATTGATACTGTGGGAATTCAAGAAATATTAAATTTATTTTAAAATCCTATGTGTCCGGTGACTCAAGCTGTGCCTCCATGTCCCCATGACCTCTACCACTTAGGCTTATGGGAAAATTTGATTTTGATTTTAAAAAGCTGTATTTATATCATGACCATCTAAATGTTTGCACAGGCGTAAATATAGTCATTAGCATTAACTATACATCCTGTAAGCAGTGTCAGTTTTGCGGATTCTCGTGGCAAAAGAGTTAATTTTCTTGAATTTATTTATTTCTCCCCCATGCTCATATTCGTGACTGCCATAGTTTTGTTCCTTTCATTCTGCACAACTTCCAGTCAGTGAATCTTTGTATTTTAATAATTGTTCTTTTAGTTTTTTTTCATGTTTCTGCTTCATAGAACAGTATAGATTTGAGGTTACATTTATTCTAAATATGTTGCTAGATATAATTTCATTTGATTTCTACAGATTTCCTACTACTATGGAAGTTTTTTTTCAAAAAATGAAGTAACTGGTTATTTTGGGATACATACCATAGATAGGCTCTGTATATCACTATTACTTGTCACATGTTGTTCATATCGACATCCTAACACATGGGTCTGACCCAGTCATACTCTGAAGCAGCAGCCATTTTACTGTTTCCTTGCTCTTCATACCCAGCTGCATTTCTTTGCTCTGCAGCCAGTTTCTGCATGCTTGTAATAGCACTTTTACTATCTTTTTCTCAAAGCAGTTAACAGCCTTTTATTGGTATGTTTTTCATCTTGCAAAAGGATACTTTTGCTGTGATTATATTCTTGTTCTTGTCTCCTTAATACATCTCTCTTCTGTTATTTTGCTACTGAAAGATAGATGGTGGAGCAGCTTGCCTACCAGTTAAAAATCCTGGGCTGTCATGGTGAGACCCAGGTTCAAATCCTCATTAAGGTGATGGATTTTTTCTGTTGAGGGGCAAATATAAATTTTTGCGTCACACAGTAAATGGTGACTGTACTAGCCACACTGCACTAAGTCATTAAACTCAAGATTCTTCTGACCTACACTGCCCTTAAACAAACGGTGAATACAGACAGTTAAGATAAAGTGCAACTTGTACTCTTTTACATATATAAGAATTGTCTAACTTATTAATATGTTGTGTTTGGTATTTATTCATGATTACACTCAATTTTTAAAGTTATATTTGTTATTTCATGTAAGCAGTGATGTATCATCTACATATTTTGTACAGTTAGTTTTTATTTTATTTTTTATAATGGTGATTCTTCTCATGTCCTTCAAATATATATTTCTCATACTGTTTTCACGATATAGGGAAAAATATTGTGAAGATATTACACCATCCTTTCAGATACCCAATTTATCCAAATGGTGGCATGTTAATTCCAGTATATGTTCTATGCAAGTTTAAGAGTTTTCCTGTAAATTCAGAGATCTGCAAAAAAAAAATAAAACTAGTAATGATAGTTTTAATAAAAGTTACTTTGCATTAATAATGGTAAACTGTGTAAATGCTTTTTACTAGAAACCAGTGCCTTAGAGTCCAAGATTAACTGTCTGGAGATGGAGAAAGTAGTTCTTGCAGAGTCCAATAAGAAGTTAGCAAGCAGTTTAAAAGAAAAAGATATGTTGCTACAACAAGCAGACGTGAAGTCACAAGGTCAAAATGAAGAACTGCGGGAGCTAGAAAACAGACTGCAAAATTTTGATGAACTCTCTAATTCACTCAGAAATATGGAGACAGTTCTAAATGGTATGTTGTATTTTTTTTTAATTTTAATTATTGATGAATATTTATAATTATTTATGAAATAGAACTGGGGTGCAAGGATACTGAACCACATGTGGTTGGGGACCAAAACCAGGGCTTGTAGTCATCAGGACCTTTTTACACCTCTCTGTGGTTATCCAAGAAACCGATTCCCAACCGGGGTACTGGAGAATGTAGATAGGATTGACATTTCTTTCAACATTTGGGTGCATCTGGCTGAAAGATGAGGAACTTACAGTTTGCATCCAAATGAGCAAGATCTGTAAAACAGATGTGAATGCAGAACTCAAGTCCTGAAATGAGTCAGAAGTCCAGAAAGGAAAAACAACCAGGATTTTCCATCAGAGTTTTACAGCCAGTGAATGTGAAGAAGAAGAAGAAGAAAAAGAAGTAGAAGAAGAAGAAAAAGAAGAAGAAGAAGAAGAAGAAGAAGAAGAAAAAAGAAGAAGAAGAAGAAGAAGAAGAAGAAGAAGAAGAAATACAACTTGGAGGAATTAATCTACTTTTTTAACATGTATGGATACAGCATTTAGTTTCTTAATTGTTTTCATTCTGAATATGACAAATGTGAATGTCAATGAGAAATCTAATATAATGGGGACCATCCCTATTAAATGTTAACTCTTCCTTCCCTTCTGTCTGCCTGTCTGTATTTCTTTCAGTATTAGTTCATCAGAGCTATCATCATCCTAATCATCATCATCAAGTGCCTTGCCGACTGGGGTGGGCGAACATGTCTCTCAACAATCTGCAATCCACAACAGTGTGTGTCAGTTTGTGTGTTGACACCCCTCACACCCCTCTATGCCATGATAATATGGCTGTCAAGAATCTCGCGCTGCCTTCCTCTGTCTCTCTTTCAAATGTTTCCAGGGTCACAAAATGTTGCAATTACTGCAACATTTGATTATCATGATTATTTGGGGCTCTCTTTGGCAAAACGGTCAAAATGCTTGCCTGGCACTCTACTGGGCTGTGAGTTTGTTTCATGGACTGTGCTGTTCGCTTCATGATGCAATATTTTTAAAGATCCTTGGGGATCATCACAGGAGCTGTAGAGATCATGCTTTGTGCAGGGCTTTTGGCAGAAGGCTAGCCATTATGAAGAGAACGATGAAGCCATATGGGATCTGGTAATCTGGTAATCTGGTAATCCTAGTTTCAGCTTCATAGCAAACGAGTCACCCCACACATGCTCCGCTCCTGTGCCAACGAAAAACAAACGCAGCTCACAGTGTCAGGCCATGCACTCAACTCAAAAGCTGGGCGACGAAACTTCATCCTTCCAGTCTACAAATGGAGCAAAAATGCAACGGCCACCGTCTGGCAAAAAAAAAAATATTTGCCCCGGCTTTTGAAAAAAAAAAAGGTGGCCGTACCTAGCGTCCATTTTGACCGGAAGAATTATATGAGGGTTAATAAACGGTCACCCCAGCAGTACCCTCATTATTAGCTGGGGAAGGGACTTAGGACATTACATCCACCAGCAGGCGTCGCCCCTACAACGACCTGCCTGCCATCGTTAACGACTGTTCACCCAACAGCCATGCAGTTCTTTGGCACGAAGGAGACACCTTGAACTTGGGTTTTGTACTGCCGACTCCCTACTAAGATGTTATTTTATGTTCTGTTATCACAATTAATGTCACTGCACATTGGGCATACCCATGCGTGCTCAGTTCTCCGAAGCAGCAGCCACTCTAAAGTACTTCTACTAATTGTCCCCATGAGAAGCTGGTTATATTGTCTCCTTTCTCGGCCTCGAAGACGGCAAAGACGTGCATCACCATGCTTAACTCCCATGTCATGCAATCGTGTTAGTGTCAGGGATTCCTCATTCTCCACTAGCCCAGTTCGTACAGCGTTGACTATGTCTGCTCTGTCCATACATATGGGATAAAACCCACTGCAGTGAAGTCAATCTTCTCGACTTGAACTTATTTGCTTATCATTTGCAGGTACAAGAAAAGATCTTGAAGAGAGCAAGGCTCAGTGTAGAATACTGACAGTGGAGTTAGATCAGTACAAGATGCAGATGAGGTTAGGCTTCTTTTCTTCAAATGTAATGCCAATTGACATGGGTGACATGTTTCTACTCTACCTTTTGATTTTTTTTTGTTTTTTAATTAGTTATGTTTATCAATGCTTTTTCTTAGTGTTAACCGAGTGTGAACTCCAGTGGGAGGCTCTGGTTGTCTGTCCATGTCTGTACTTTTGTTATGTTCTAGAACTTAAGTTTCCCATGCACATCTGTTTTTCAGATATGGCTTATTTGTATGCACAATGTTGGTTCCTCACCTCTCAGGCAGTTGCATTCATTTTAAGGAAGCACCCTTTATTAGTTGACTTTTATGACATGCTTGTTGGGTAGGGGGGGGATGGGAGTGGGTGATCACCCTCCCCCCCCCCCAGAGGAAATAGGGAGCTCATCAATTCATGTACGGACCTATTTCCTTTTCATTTGAAATAAATCTAAATGGGTTCTGGGAGCCCTTGGGGGGAAGGGGGGGGGGGGGGGAGGGGGGGGTGGGGGGGGGGGGTGGGGTTGAACTCAGTTGTATGACCCCTTAAAACAAGCTTGTCAAAAAAGGCTGCAGTAGCTGCCATTCAATCCAATGCATCAGTTTTCAACAAACCACTTTTTTTTAGCATGCTTGTTAAGCTATAGGTGTATTTTCCTCTCTCCCCAATATGAAGTCCCACAACCCATGTGTGGAAAATGTGTAGATGAATTAATTGCTTAAAAAAATAAAATAAACAAATGCACATTCTATTATAAGATCGGATAAATTAGCCCCACTGCATGTCAGTTTAATTAGTCAGGGGTATCCTCCCCCCCCCCCCCCCCACTTCCAAATAGGGCCCTGGGACCCACATGAGGAGATTCGAAATAAAATCATGTTTAAAGTCTTGAGCCATGCTAGTGTAGCAGCAAGCCACTCGTCTGGCAGGCTAGGGTTCATATCCATATTTAGGCAGATGTTTTTTTTCTTCAAACAGGATCTTGGCTGCCAGATCGACCCAGCCTAAAATGGGTATAATGGGTAATGTCCTAATAAGTTCAGGTGGCTTGCATAATTTTTACCACCAGGAAATGTCTTGAGAAGTTCAGGTAATGTCTTGAGAAGTTCAGGTAATGTCTTGAGAAGTTTAGGTAATATCTTGAGAAGTTAAGGTAATGTCTTGAGAAGTTTAGGTAATGTCTTGAGAAGTTTAGGTAATGTCCTGAGAAGTTAAGGTAATGTCCTGGGAAGTTAAGGTGGCCGGCATGATGTTCATCACATCACCCATTGAGTGCCACTTGGTCTATAGGACTATAAGGCTAGCATCATATGCCTGATGTGCAAGTGGCATAAAAAGTGCCCTTTACTTTATTTGTTTTTGTTTTTTTTGTTTTTAATTTACCAACTGGTATCTTCAATGCTATTGATATATTCCCTTGCAGAAATAAAACAGCAGAAATAAATAACATCACTAGCATGAAAACTCAACTGGAACATACACATGAAATAGCCATACAGAGGTGAGTCTTTTTAAAAAAAAATCCCTTCTAGTATTTCATTCTGAAAGATAAACCACCTTGTGACTCAAAGAGACATTTGGATGATAATCCTACAGGAGCAAATCCCAGAAACCCTGTTTAACTTTATATCACAGTTGTATTAAGGCACCCAGCGGTTGTGTCTTAGGCATCTGTGGCTTAGGCATTACGAATGCGCTTCGTAATGCCAGGTTGTCGGGCTCAGTCCCATTCTGTAGGTGATTTAGCAGCAGACTGCCTTGTGTTGGTTTTGACGGTGGTATCTAGAGCCCACCAATCAAATATCAATGGCAAACTAATAGACGTAAATTTGCCTAGAAAAATTACAATAGCCAAAAAATGCTGGCGTTGGTTCTGCAACATCCTGTAACAGGACATACAATAAACTTGTGTTTGTTCGTTTGTTTCTTTATTTGTTTTTGTGCATGCTGCTGAACCTGCTGTGTGCTTATAGTAGTATCCTCAGTGCCTTAATATCGATTCTTAATTCAACATTCAACAGTGGTAAACACAGGCAGTAGGGGCTGTTTTTAGCAGTAGAACAGAGGGATCTTGAGCCCATGGATTTGAAGCCTTATGTTCTCATGTAGTATGCTCTAGTTGCTGGCTGATTTTGTTACCTTCTGACAATTTCACCAAACCATTTGATTATTTGATGTTCTGTGAAATCATTTACTGGTGCTGTGCCTATCGATGTTGTTAGTATATCGTTGCTGACTCTCTCTTCTTGTTTTTCTTGTCGCACTTCTTTTGTAAATCATCTCACATGTTGTGATTTTGCGGTTGTTCTTCTAGGACTGAACATGTCTAGCACTGATAGCACAAAGTTAGTATGATCATGATCATCATGTAGGTCCTTGGCCGAGCGTCGCTCTCATCACAGTCTGCTGAAAGAAACTCGGTCTCTCACTACCTCTCTCGCCTCATACACTTTCCTTCCCAAGGTGTCAATTATATTCTGTGCCCATCTTCATGCTGATCGACCCCTGCCCCTCTTTCCTGGTAGATTCAGTTTAAAATACATTTTATGTTATTTTAATAACTGTAGATTCAGTCTGATTACATCTGAGATTATTTTGTTAACTGTAGGTTCAGTTTAACATATACTGAAGTTATTTTATTAACTGTAGGTTCAGTTTAACATATACTGAAGTTATTTTATTAACTGTAGGTTCAGTTTAACATATACTGAAGTTATTTTATTAACTGTAGGTTCAGTTTAACATATACTGAAGTTATTTTATTAACTGTAGGTTCAGTTTAACATATACTGAAGTTATTTTATTAACTGCAGGTTCAGTTTAACATATACTGAAGTTATTTTATTAACTGTTATGGTTGACTACAATTGATTTTTTAAAAATTAGTTGTAGATTCATTTTAAAATATAAGTTAGTTAGTCATGTATTCCTTTACAGGACATTGCAGAACCAACCATTTTTTGGCTGTTGCAGTTTTCCTAGGCAAATTTATGTCCAGTAGTTTACCATCGTTTTCTGAACGGTCGGCTTCTCAATACCGCTGTTGAAAACAACGAGAGGCGCAAGGCCCACAGTTGGGATTGAACCCGGTGCGCTACCCTGGCATTATGAAGTGCGTTTGCAACGCCTAAGCCACAGATGCAGTCAGTTTAAAATATATTGGAGATTATTTGTATTAACTGTAAATTCAGTTATATTATAATTTTGAGATTAAGTTTCTTAACCCATAGTCTCAGTTTGACTTTTGGACTATTTGATTAACTGTAGCCTAATTTGTACATCTGCATTTGGTTTCTTAATAATAGACTCAATTTGGAATTCAAAGCTAAAGAACATGAGCTTGGCTCTTGTATAAAACAGCTGAAGACTTTGGAAAGCCAGTGCCAAGAATACCAGAAGAAAGAAAATGAAACAGCACAGCAAAGCCGGCTTGGCCTCAGTAAGTAACAGTCTGTTACTTTGCATTTCTTATTTGAGGATGACATGTTGAACAGCTTAAACACAAGAAGGTTTTTTTTTTTTAAGATTTTGCGGATTTTCTAGGCAAGTTTACATCCAGTAGTTTGCCATTGCTTTCTGGACAGTCGGCTTCTTGATACCACTGTCGAAACCAAGGCAATGCACAAGGCCCGCAGCTGGGATTGAACCCAGCACTCCGGCGTTACTAAGCGCATTTGCAATGCCTAAGCCACTGACGCCGACACAAGAAGATAGAAGTTTGTTTACTTTGTTGCTCAGCCATCCAGATACAATTAATATATATAATTATTTGTAGAATCAGAGATCTGTTAACAAAAATTATCAGTTAGATCATTATTAAGCAGGGAGTGACCAGGAGATCTGGCTGACATTTGATAATATGATGGAGCAAATAAATGGATCCTTCTAAGTGAAGAAAACAAAATCAGCTATGCTTAATTAAATAGCTGGTATAGTATGGACCTGATGAAATCTAATGCACAGCAGATGGTAAAAGAAAACATAGACGACCTAAAGAAACCTAGAAAAGGACAGCAGAAAGGGAAGTGAAGGAATAGAAAATGGCACAGGATACCATGGGCAGAAGATCAGCAGTAAAAAGTAGTAAAGTAGTAAAGGACCCTTTTCCTACGCCTTAAGGCGTTTAGGGCAGATAGGACTAGACCTATATTTTATAGACCAATTGGCACAAGATGGGTCATGTTGTCAGCATCACGCCAGCCACCTTTACTTCCCGGGAGTGCACCCAGTACCCACTCAAGGCTGGGTCGACCTGGAATCAAGGTCATTAAAAAAAAAATTTGTTGGCTCGAAGAGCAGCAGACCGACAGCAATAGAGATTGCTTAATGACTGCCTTGTGTGTCAGCAGTAACATGAAGAGGATATAGATAGACAGAAAGATGCTCCCGATGAAATACAGTGAAAATTTATTGTTTGTTTCTTTGTGTTCAAATTTACAGTGAGGAAACATTATTTTGAAATGCTTTTCTTTCATGTCTTTATCTGCCAGATGAAATTCAAGAGCTCCGGGAGTCCTTGCTGAGGGTGAAGTCAGAAAATGAAGCTCTGAAGGCAGAAAGGTGGGCAGATTGTACTTGAGCTCGAGTCAAGAATTGACATCACAGCACTCAGGGCATTCCTATGTGTGCTCCGTCCTCATCTTCAGCAGCCAGTGCAGAGTTCCAATACTGGTGGTACCGGTCACAATCTGGTTATATGTCCGTCTTGCCTTTCCTCTGAGTGTAGTGAGCCTGCCAGACTCTCTGGTTACACCCAGATGCCTCATTCTCTCCAGGCTGATTATATTTTTATTTTTTAAAATTTTCTACTGAACACAAGTCAACAGAAAATTGGAGAATGACTAAAATAATTACTGTTAAACTAGAAACATGTATTAACATGTTGTGTAAGCAAAATGCAGGCAAAAAGTATAGTAAGAATTAAATGTAATGACAGAATAATCCAATGCAGTGTGTTTTTGTTTGTAGAGTGGATTTTAAAAAAAAAAACATTGTTCTTTTTGCAGAAAAGAAAGAATAAAGAACATGTATTGAACAGTTATAAACATTTTACACTTTGTGACGTCTAAGAAAAGACTTGCTTTAGCAATGTAGAGCTAAACAGCACGAAGAACCTATGACATAGCACCTGTAAGCAAGTTAAACTAAAAATTTTGAGATTGTGCCTTTTTTATGTGGCAATTTATGGATGGGAGTCATATCACTCTTATTTTTGAAGTTGAAACAGGGCTTTTGAACTTTAATGCTACATAAAAATTCTTAGAATACCTTGGACTAAGAAGATAAAAAAAATGTTGACATTCTGCATGACCTGAACATCAAGGAGAACTGGCTCATAAACAACATCCTTTCCCGAAAGCTTAAATATTTTGGACATGTCAATCGCCGTGATGGTCTGAAGAGAACAGTAATGGTGGTGCATTTCTAGAAAAAAAGCCAGAGGTCGATATCCGCGAAGGTGGATAAAGGTTTTTGAAGATATATATTAGGCTATGAAAGCACACAGTGCTGGAGAATTGGCTAGCAAAAGAGAGACTTTTAGGCGTGCCGTGAAGGGTGACATACTGTAAAGGACATGCTGATTGATTGATTGACTGATGTGTAAAAGTCACAACGGGTTCTTGTTGCACCAGTTAATTTACTCTCCTTTGTCTCTTCCTCTTCTCACTCCTCTTTTCTTCCTCTTGTCTGACATCTGCACTGTGAAAAAGTATTTGTCATCAAATGAACAAAAGTGATCATAATAATTTCAGGGAAATGATGATTGAAGCACATCAGAATAGAATTGAGGATTTAAGGGACAGTTTCAAGAACAAAATGGCAGAAGCAGACGCATGGCCAGAGAAGGTATTTGGAATCACTTGTTATATATAATAATTGTTTCACTGAGAGTGGATCCAGGACAGTCAGCAGAATAGTATGAGGATTGAGTAAATGAGAGAAAAGATAGATGTGAGAGAGAATACGAGACAGAATAAATGAAAATAAAGATTTGAAAAAAAAATTGAATAGGAGAGGGAAGAATGACAGAGAAAAAGAGCATATGAATGAAAGAAGAGAATAAGAAGAAGAATGTGAGAGGGAAGATGATGGAGAAGAAAATGAGGCATAAGACAAAACAGGAGCAGAGAACATATGCAAGTCAAGGAGAGAGGTAACAGACTCAGAATGAGTTGAGAGAAAAAAAAGACAGCAAGATAACAGAGAAATAATAAAAAGACAAAAACTGCATACTCAAAAGAGTTGACTCAGAGTAGGCCACAAGACAGACCAAGAAAAATGTGGCGAGATAATATTCAGATAGACCTACAAAAGATCTAAAGTCACCAACTGGAAAGAAAAGGCTAATCACTATAAAGTCACCAACTGGAAAAAAAAGACCAATCACTCTAAAGTCACCAACTGGAAAGAAAAGGCCAGTCGCTCTAAAGTCACCAACTGGAAAGAAAAGGCCAATCATTCTAAAGTCACCAACTGGAAAGAAAAGGCCAATCACTCTAAGGTCACCAACTGGAAAGAAAAGGCCAATCACTCTAAAGTCATCAACTGGAAAAAGAAAGCCAATCACTCTAAAGTCACCAACTGGAAAGAAAAGGACAATCACTCTAAAGCCATCAACTGGAAAAAAAAAACCATTACTCTAAAGTCACCAGCTGAAAAGAAAAGGACAATCACTCTAAAATCATCAACTGGAAAAAGAAAACCCATTACTCTAAATTCACCAACTTGAAAGAAAGGTCAATCACTCTAAAGTCACAACTGGAAAGAGAAGGCCAGTCACATAGATAAATGGAGGTGGGTGATATCTGAAGCAATTGACCTTAGGGTTTAAGAAGAAGAAAACTGAAGGAGAAGATTATGATGATGAGGAAGGAAAGTAAAAGTGTGTGTGACAGTGAAATAAAGAGAATGGGAAATTAAGAAGAGCTGTAGTGATTGATATAGACAGAAAGAGAGAGGAGAGGCAAGTAAGAGAGAGAGAGAGAGAGAGAGAGAGAGAGAGTAAAAGTATGACTGGGCTCTGTAACTTTAATTCAAGAGGAATGCATCACCATACCAGATCTTCATATGCCAATGAATTTCTTTAGTTTCCCTCACTTCAGTGGTTAAAAAGTAGAAAACAGAACTCTGCTCATTTTTGGTGCATGTCAAAAGTGAGGCAGCCATTGTAAAACTCATTATGATGTCACCTTGTTTATCTGCACCCTGAGATCACCTGCTTGACACTTTTGATATCCTTAACAATATTATTGACAAGTTAGACAACAGTGGCGTGGTTATTGCAACTACTTTTTCACTTTTAAAGTTTTATTTTAAAGAACCCTCGTAAAACTATTGATCTGTTTTTATTTTTTCCTCTACTGCTAGCTTCAGGCTGAGCTATCAGCTGAGAAAGGTCGACATCTAGCAGAAATGAAAGCTCTTGAAGATGGCCTCAAACACAACTTTGTATTGGTAAGTCTTCTGCTGAGGCTGCTTGCCTATGGCTAGTCTTCAGCTGAGGCTAACCTGCTTGCCTGTGACTAGTCTTCTGCTGAGGCTGCTTGCCTGTGGCTAGTCTTCTGCTGAGGCTGCTTGCCTGTGGCTAGTCTTCTGCTGAGGCTATCCTGCTTGCCTGTGGCTGGTCTTCAGCTGAGGCTATCCTGCTTGCCTGTGACTATCCTGCTTGCCTGTGACTATCCTGCTTGCCTGTGGCTATGAAATACTATAAGCTTGAACTTAAATGTTGCAGGAATGTTCTTATGCTATCCTGGACAAAGAAGATTAAAAATACTGATATCCTTCATGATCCAAATATCTCATAGGAACTGGCTTATGAACAGTATCATTTCTAAAAAAATGAAATACAAAGGTTAATAAGGTATCCTTTACAGAACGTTGCAGAGCCAACCCCAGCATTTTTTTGCTGTTTGTACTTTCAGACAAAATTTTATGTTAATTAGTTTGCCATTGCTACTAAACAGTGGGCTCTCTATGCAATTGTCAAAACCAGTGCAGGGCAATTGCTGAAGTTCATGATAGTCACGTGACTTACAAGGATAACTTCACATTTATAATGAATTTTTTTTGCATGCTTAAGAGGGGGTTATTCGTTTTTATTGTTAAATCTTCTGCCAGTCTCTCTATTTGCTTGGTCAGAGTATTGTATATCACACAGAAAGTCACAGTCATTGTCATTTACGGAATGAAGCGAGTGACATCCTGGAGTTGGATTCTTTCCCTTTGGTCGGTTTTGACACCCTTGTGGAATCACTGAATTGTGCATAGAGCCATTTGGGTATATGTTCCACCTCTCTATTTTCAAGTTATCTCTCTGTTCTACCAATAAAAGTCAACTGATTAATTAATTGATAAATAAAGTTGGATTTTGTGTATGGGAACGCTTGTTTTTTAATAGGTGGGGTTAGAATGGAAGTGTTCATGTACCTCACTACTGGAAGAGGAGCAAAGAATGTTTGGTTAACAGTTGCTTTTAGTTGGTCCTGCAGGTGCTGTATGATGTCAACCCCTTGATAAGTTAGTTGGATAAACATATTAAACATCATAATGGTTTTTTCTTCTTCTTCTTCTTCTCGTTCACCGGCTGTAAACTCTGGCAAAAAGTTCTTTTTGCTCATCCACTTCTGGACTCTAATCTTGTTCCAGAACCTGAGTCCTGTGTGCACATCTGTTTTACAGATCTGGCTTACTTGTATGTAGACTGTTGGTTCATCCTCTCTCAGGCCAGTGCGCTGCAATTTCAAAGTAAACATCCCTAATTAGTATGCTTTTACTAGATGCTTGTTAGGGGGCAGTGGATCTATTCTTTTTTCCCCATCACATTGGGGCCCCGGAACCCACACAGGGACCTCATAATAGTTTGAAGAGGACAGTAATGGAGACTGTAAATTCTGGAAGAATAAAGAGTGGTCAACCAGCGCTGTGGACACAGGTTGTTAGGGACACATTGGGCATGAACATTCATCAGACATAAAAGCTGACAAGGGACTAAGTGACTTTCTGGCATGCCATGCTGAAAGCAGCATTCTGCAAAGGACCTGCTACATGATAGTGACCAAAGAAGGACAGCAAGAGTTAAAGAACCAAACTGGTTTATACAATCAGGAAACTTTATGTGGCAGATTTGCATGTAAGTTGGAGTTGACTTAAATTGGTTGAATAAAGAGCTTGAAAATAGAGTAGTAGAATATATACTCAAATTCCATTCACATCTGAAAAATTCTGCTAGTGTGTCAAAACCAGCCAAGAGGAAAAAACCCAACTTTTCTGTAGGATGCCATTTGCTTTATTCTGGACATTAATATGACAAAGAAAGTGCCCTCCATGTGGTTTACCACACACAGAACAGGTCAATGCTGAGATAAGCGAATCTTTAATGATAAAAATGAACTTATGGCTGCTTCTTGTTGCCAGTATATCTTCTTTATATGTACCATCAGTGTCTGGGGTTCCTAACATTCAAATAATTTCTTTATGTTTTACTTTATAAAATGCTTTAGTCCAGGAAGGCTAACTCTGGCAACAAATGGTTGTAGAAATTGGATGTTTTGAAAGGGGCAGAACACATTTATATGTTTTGATGAATGCAGAAGAAGAAGAAGAAATGCTGATTATAATCAACAAAGCACAAGTACAGATCTCATTTCATTTCAGTCATTCATTCTGTAAGTGTTTTCAAGATGAAAATGGTGTTGTTTGTGCCTTTACCTTGTACAGAACCATACTGCTTCTATCCAAGAATGTAATAGTAAAAGTGAAGGACCCTTCTTTTTACCATTGGCACATCAGGATTAGATGAGTTAGTATGACAGTGCGGTAAGAGAGATTAATTAAAAATATTTGTTGTTGGTGCATTTTCAGGAGCTGCAGATAGAAAAGGACAAGTACAACGAGCTGCTAAAAAAGTTTCAGGCTCAGGAAAAGGATAAAAATAACTTGGTATGTTTTTTATTTCATTTGGTAATGCATTTTCTCTTACATTTGTTATATTACATTATATTACCAGTAGATTAAAGAAAGTTCCAATGTAAATATTTTAATAAACTAGCAACTTTTTAGTAGTATAAGAATAGAGGAGCGGCTGGCCAAATGGTTAGAATGCTGGACTCTCATGTGGGCGTCCCGGATTCAAATTACTTAGTGAGATCGGGGATTCTTTTCCGAAGGGGGCAAAAACAACAACCTTCACCTGCACAGTGGGTGGTGACAGCACTAGCCATTAAACCCTTAATTCTCAGGCTCAAAGACCCACTGCCTACACCGCAAAAGTGGTATAATAAAGGCAGTAATTGGCCGTTTTCTGGTTGGTTAGTTACTGGATTATCCTCATTGCCGATGAAAAAAAGCTAAGGTACTGAGATGTGATCCTTTTTTAAATCACTTTGCTGCTCCTGTTCTGTGTAAGTTAATAAAACATTATTATTTTAACCCTTTGATCTTGGAATGCCACTACTCCAGCATCATCATCTGTAACAACTCCCTGTAAAAGCTGTTAAAGTGGCATTGTTTCCTTCAAACCTGACAGGTGGCTGGGCATAGCACCTAATGGCGCTGCTGGCACCTATATGGTCTGGTTCAAGAGTCACAGTCTCTTTCACAGTTTCTGCATGTGCAAAGATGAGGCATGACGCAGCACTTGCAGCAAATGACTACATTTTATAATTGTGTCCTTTCTCATTTGATTGGATCAGATTGTGCTTACAGAGCACAAGTCAGTTTTTCGCATCTCTTTTGCAGGAATATCTGTTCTTCTTCTTCTTTCTCTTCTTCTTCTTCTTCTGTTGTTCGCCTGAAATAAGTTGTCTGTATCAGCAGTTTTGTCTCTTAAATAAATTTCACAGTCATTTTTAGTAAATTCAGTGTTCCATAGAGTTATGTTCCACTGTTGTTCTTTCAGGCCAAAAGTTTGGCTCTAATGTGTCAAATTCAGTGCAGTCCTGGAGTACATGCTCTGCTGTCTGATGCATCTATCTTGAATTTTGTGTACATGTGGTTGCATAATCAGTTGTGCCCGGTTCTGAGGTGAAGGATAATGACTTGTTCTGATCTGTCTATAACAGAGTAGTCGTCTTCTAATGGGACTGGTGGTTTCCTGACCGATTTAATGATCCTTCTCTTTTGGTAGATGTAAATGGAATATCCAGCTGCTCTTTTGTCGCACTGTCCCCTAACATTTGATCAGCTCTGTCATTTCCCGGCACTCCACAATGGGACGGTATCCACTGCATTGCGACCTTAACGCTGACAGTGAAGTTGTGTCAGCAGTGTTCACAATTCTAGTAGTTTTCTAGACTGGAGTGCTTCAAGTATGGATTTTTTTAAATCTGTCAGCATTACCACATACTGTGAGCTAAGGTTGGTATTTAACAGTTTCTGTGTTGTTATCTTGATTGCCTAGGTTCATCGTAGCTATGGCAGTACTTCCTGGTTGGTACACTGGACTTATTCCGTGTAGCATATGGGAATTCTATGTACTCTTCTGCACCACCATTTATGACTGCATTTTGTGCAGACCCATCTGTATAGACTCAAACCCTCCATTTTTGTGGGTATTCTTCCTCAATTTAGCTCAGGGTGGCCTTTCTGCATTGTGTAATGTCTTGCTCTTTCTTGTCTGATATTCCTTTCACATTTGTCTGATGTTTACTGCTAGTTGCATTTTTTTCTCTCCATGAGGTTCTGTGTTTGCTGATATCGGATGTGTTGGACTGAAAGACTCAGCTATCACAGCCTAGCTGTAAACCACAATACAAAATGCCAACCGCCTTTTAAAAAACAAATGCAGATGAAGAAGAAGAAGAAGAAGAAGGAGAAGAAGAAGAAAGAGAAGAAGAAGAAGAATGAAAAATAGTAAAATATTTTTGAGTTAAAAACATAAATGTCTGTGGGACGAAAATGTGTGTTTTTGTGTGTTTTTAAACATCAGTGTATTCAAGCAAGGATGATCCTGCGATAGGACCAGCAAGCCAGTAGGTAATTTATTTGTTCACGGGAAATTGCTCAAGAGTTGTGGAGGATATTCATTCCAACATTAAGCTACCAGTGCCAAACATGGACACTATCTAAAGCCCATGTACGCAAATTCACCACCTGCGAGATTAGATGTGCGCGAAAAGCAGCCAACCTAACCATCCGAGATCAAGTGAATAATGAAACTATCAGGCAAATTGTGGTAACGACACCTTGTACTAGATTCATCAAGAAACAGCACATTAAGTGGTTTGGCTATCTCGTTAGAATGCAGCAAGATCAAATACCATCACAAGCACTACATCTCAGAAGATCAGCTACAAGAGCAAGAGGATGGCCACGGAAAACATGGATCAACAACATTCGACGCCTTCACGGCATGACAATAGCCAGTGGCAGCCAACGCGGACTGGACCGCAAATTATTCCTCCCCACGACCCTTAACGGCAGAAGTGGTTTATGATGATGATGTTGGCAGGTAACGAAGTTGGACAGCTAGTTTTCTCCTTCTTGAATTATCTGCACTTCTTACACCTGTTTCCTTTTTAGGTTAACTAACTTGTCTCTTTTCAATGTTTTTTGTTTCCTGTCTGTCTGCAGTCTTTCTCTCTTGTTTATGAAAGCTTGTTCATTTTTGCATGTTTTCTGAGTGATAGAGATGACAAAGAAATCGAGCGAAACAGACAGAGGTAGATAAAATTATAAACAGAGAGACAGATACACAGAGAGACAGTGAGGTAAAGGTAAAAAATGTTTCTGAAACAGCTACATTTACATGTTTCCTGTTGACCAGCAGGTTTATGTAAATGTTTTTATGTTTTTTATTGTTCTTTATATATATATATATATATATATATATATATATATATATTATATATATATATATATATATATATATATATATATATATATATATATATATATATATATATATATATATTTAAGGCCGCTTTAGCGCAGTTGATAGGAGTCTCCCTTTCAAATCCAGCTGCGACTCATTGCAGCCCATGGCCTGTGTTCGAAACCGGGCAGTTCCCGGGGTTCACCCAGCCTCTAGGTAATGTGTACCAGAGTTGACACTCTGGGTTAAATGGATGAACGTCACTGTAGCTACGGAGTTGCGTGCAGACGGTGACACAGGCGGACAGTTTCTTATCAGTTGTCCGTACTGGTGGTAGAGCACTTATGGTTTATAACCCTGTGCAATGACTGGTTCACATCTCCAGACTTTTCCCTATATATATATATATATATATATATATATATATATATATATATATATATATATATATATATATATATATATATATATATATATATATATATATATATATATATATATATATAAACTAAATGTTTTCTTTTCTTTAAAAGATTCACTTAACAGTTTGAAAATTTGAAAATGTTTATATTTTAACTAATTATATGACCTAAGGTACATAAGCAGTGACTTTATGAGAATTTTATAAGCTCAGATATTGCATTGTTTTCAGAGGGAAACACAGCAAGTTCTCCTTGAACAAAAGTACAAACTGGAAATTGAAGAATTCCATCATCAGATTGGAGATATTAAGAGAAAAGGACAAGAAAGAGAAGCTGAACTGGGAAAAGAAATCACCAGCTTGAAGAAGATTATTAGTGACTTACAAGATCGTCTTGGTGAGATGAGAGAATTATTCACTGTGTTTTTATCATTGTGATTCCTCAAAAGGCAAAGGCTGTCGCTTATCAGCTCGCCCCACTGTTCAGGCGTCCAAATATCTCTCTTCCAGCAAAATAACAAATAACTATTAGCATCTTCATCTCCACTTTGTGCTGTCAGTGCCAAACATGGACAGTGAGCAGGTTTGAGGTTTTGAACAATGGATCAACATCATGGTACAAGGGTAGTAACCCATAAGGGCTCTGTTCTTCTAACTTAAGTCTGAGTCCGAAGCAGCTCAGCACAGTGCACAGGACAGTGAGAAGATCATGGGAACAGAAAAAAAAAACTGCTTGCAAACTGCACTGCCTTTAAAAGGGCAACAAGAACACAAGAAGGGATAGAGTCATAAATACCAGCCTAAGAGAGAAGAGTGAGACAACGTCATGCCTGAATTACACAAAAAGAGAGTGAATGAAGTTCTTTGGCCATCTAGTGCAGTTGCCACACACTGTGCAGGTTAGGATTTTTTTTTTGCCCCAGACACACATAAAATCCATGATCTTACTAAGGATTTTTTGTTTTGGGGTTCTCAACCGTTTGGCTGAGTCACACTACATTATCATTCAATGCCTTGTGAAGTATAGGCAGCCAGCATGACATTGATTAGGCATGATCACCTAGTGAGTACTGATTCTTCTTTTTCTTTTCTTTCTTCATTTACTTTATCAAAGTGTTGGTGGTGGGAGGGAATGTAAAGATCTACTGTATGCTCTTTCTAATGCATCGTATAAGTACTCTTCAGTTCGTTAAGGCTGCTCTTGATGCTGTCGTTCTATGCTTTGCATGGCATACCTCTTGCACTGTGTTCATTATCTTTCTTCAGCATGGCTGTCTGTCTCTGACTCTCTTAAAACAAGCAGCTCACAAAATTTGACTAGTTATCAAGATAAGACAGAATTCATGGTAATTATAAGACAGAGAAAGGATATATACTCCGGCCCCATACAAGTTGATAATATGAAAATCAAACGAACAAAAGCATATAAGTACTTGGGTGCAAACTTCAACTGTTCCAACATGCTGAGAGAAAAAAAAATACAATCTAGAATAAAATCTGGAAATAAATCTGCTAAAGTCAAAGTCTCTAATCGCGCAAAACTAAGATCAAAATATATAAAACATTGATAAGACCAGCTTTTATTTTGCTCTGAAACTTGGAGCACAGCTAAAAGAGATGAAGCTTTATTGCAGGTTTTTGAAAACAGTCTTACCTTGAATCATTAGACCCATCAAAGATGTAAAAGGTGCTGAATGGAGAGTGAGAAGCAATAACAAAATTCATAACCTGTTGAAATCATTATAGACCACGAGGCAGACCAAGAAGATGATGGAGAGATAATATCCAGACAGACTTACAGACACCTGGTGTCTCCAACTGGAAACAGAAGTCCAACCAAAGAGATGAATGAAGGCAGGTGATATTTGCTGCAATAAACCTCAAGGGCTAGGAATGATGAAGAAGAATGGCTGTCTGTGGCAGTTACCAGGGCATTCTCATCTGGTGTCTAAACCATCTCATCTGCTGCTCTTTAGTGAACCATATAACTGATTTCGATCCTAGTCTTCTGATTTCTTCATTTTTAATGTCACCCATTCTTGTGACTCTGCCAGCTCTTCTAGGACATCTCATTTTTGTATAAAAGATGAAGTATGAAGTGCAGTCATTTGCAGCAGGACATGCTTCATAGGATCTTCTTTTGTCATCAGATTGCTACATTTGTAGCCCAGTGTCAGGGTTTTCTGTATTTGTCTTGTGTTTCTCCAGTAGTCGGCTCTATGGCTTAGGCATTATGAACCCACTTATTAATGCTGAGGTGCTGGGTTTGATCCTAGCTGCAGATAATTTGTCTTGCATTGGTACGACACTGGTACAGAGAGCTGACCGTTCAGGGGCAATGGCAAACTATTAAAATTTGCCTAGAAAAACCACAGCAGCCAAAATAATGTCTCAGGCATGGATGGCCTCCCTGATTGTTTCTGCAATGTCCTGTAAAGGATACCCAACTAACCTCTCCGGTAGCTTGAGTAATGTTTTTGGGTGCTCTTCTTCTTGGCATCGGCGTCTCTGGTTTAGACGTTACGAACGCACTTCGTAATGCCGGGGTGCCTGGTTCGATCCCAGCTGCGGGCCTTGCGCCTTGCATTGGTTTTGACAGTGGTATCGAGAAGCCGACCATCCAGAAAGCAATGACAAACTACTGGACATAAACTTGCCTAGAAAAACCACAACAGCCAAAAAATGCTAGGGTTGGTTCTGCAACATCCTGTAAAGGATACGCAACTAACTACTTCTTGGCAGGAGGCGGCTGCGTGGTCTTGAGGCATGGTGTCTGCCTCGAGTGCTAGAGGTTCCAGGTTTAATCTCCAGTAAGGGCTGGGATTTTTCATGTGTTCTTGGACTTCTAGTAGTTCCCCCGGTCTCTGGATAGTGAGATTGGATGCTGTAATGATGCTATAAATAGGGATAACGTCAGGGGATGACTGGCATAATTGGGTAAGTCCCTGATAGCATGGGTTTCACGGAGATATGGTGAAACGACAAGAGAGAGTGAGTCACGTTTGAATGCGAGATCTGGGGGATTGAGAATGAAGTGGTCATTCGGTGACTGGGCCCCAGACTGGAAGGATGTGAAGCTGAATCTGTGAAGGTGAATCCAGAATGAAGAGTGCACGTGGATCTGAATCAGAGTCGAATGAATGATCGTTTAGGCCAGCCGTTGTGTTACACGGTTTGATTGTTGAGCCAGCCGTGTATATGCCAGTGTCCATCGTCTGAAGCATGTCTGGAGCCTTAATGTGTGAGCAAGGCGAGATTGCCCGAATGGTGTAAGTTGGTTCTTCTGTTGATTCGTTTCTTGTGCTACAGTGATAATAAACCTGCGAAATGTGTCAGCTGGTATCAACCGTCGTTTGAAGTTGTGTGGCCGTGGAGAGAAATGTCGTCTGGTTAGAATGAGCTGTGACCTAACACCTAGACAACAGAGTCAGTGTTGAATCTGCGCTAGAGAGATCAAGTGTGGAGGAGACACAAGTACATTCATTACAGATGCCCATGTATATTGTTGTGCACGTAAAAAATCTCTTGGCGGTTGGAAATCGAAAAGAGTAGCCTGATGCTGCCCGGGCAAAATTTGGAGTTAAAAGTCTACCTAAAGTATTTCAGGATCCTCGTCAGTGCTACAGAGCCTGTGCACTGTGCTGTGCTTCTTCGGACTCAGACTTGAGTTAGAAGAAGAACAGAGCACTTATGGGTTACTACCCTTGTGCCATGATGTTGATCCATTGTTCAACACTTCAAACTTCTTGGCAGGTCACAAGATAATGACATGGTTATTGTAGATTCTGTCACACTTTCAAGGTATTCATTTGAAGCCCCCTTATACTTTTGAGAGCCATGAAAATGCAGTACCTAGCCTTTTTGCCCACCAGCCTGGTGGTCATAAGTTCAAATCCCTGTTGAAACATTAAAAAAATTAAACTGGGCTCTCAGATCGTGACCAAGCCAGTATGTGTACATTGAAGTTTGTCTGCAGTTTAACGCTGTTATCTTTGAGAATATTACGCAGTGAGGTCAAAATTTCTTCCATGGTATGACTCATACCTGTCCTACTCCTCCTTCTTCTTTGGATTCAGTAGCTGTAAACTTCAATGGAAAGTCCTGGTTGTTCATCCACTTCTGGATTTTAGTCTTGTTCAAGAACCTAGGTTTTGCATGCACATCTATTTGACAGCTTAACCGTTTGACAGATCCGGCTTATTTGTATGGAAAGCTGAGTTGAGTTTAGTAAGAATTGACATCACAGCTCGTTCCTCATCTTCAGCAGCCAGCGCAGAGTTCCAATACTGCTGATACCGGTCACAATCTGGTTATTTGTCCATCTTGCCTTTCCTCTGAGTGTAATGAGCTGGCCAGACCCTCTGGTTACACCCAAGTGCCTCATTCTCTCCAAGGCCATAATAATCTTGTTTCTCTACTGATTCCGTTACTTGTTCCTAAAGGGCCTGGACCACATCTGCCTTGTCATGTATAAATTCACCACCCAGTGGTACAGATCCAGCCAATCTGTCTGTCTGTTCATTACCCACTACACCGACATAACCTGAAGAAAAGATCCATAGTATGCTTACTACCCGTGACGTTTCCAGTGAAGCTTGCCACTCTGCTCGAAGCATCCCTGTCTTCACCTTTCTCAGCATGCTTTCAGAGTCTGTTACAATTACGACATGTGTATGGAGAATGTTAGTTCATCGCCTCTCAGACAGATGCAGTCTGACTTTGAGGGAGCCATTTCTGATTAGTTGACTCTTGCCACGTGCTAGATAGAGAGTAATCGATTTATCCCCTTCCCTTTTTTTATTCACTGGGGCGTTGAAACTCACATGGAGAGTTCTACTGTCCAAAAACTGAAAATGTTTAAAAAAAACTGTCCACAACATGAATCGAGCCCTAGTGCTCAAATATTATGACATTGTTAAATGCATTAGCTAACCTCTACACCACGAGCTGCCAGTTTGATACTGACCACAATACCCAGTCAGTAGCTATAAGTCTTTACAAATATGAGACGGGCACCATATACCCAATCTGTCTCAGATCGTTTAAGTGGGTCAGTTAATTACCTTTCTTATTTTACTGTTTATTTATTATTCTATTCCACCCTTGTAAACAACAAAAAAGCATGGATTTGTGAGAAATAAAACGAATATTCAGTTTTTCTGATCATTTCAGCCCGATTAGATGGAGCTGATTCCAGCAAACTCACAGAAATTAAAAGTGATTTATCTAAAACAAGACAAGAGCTAGCAGATGTGTTAAACAACATGTCTTTGTTAGAAGGGAAGCTGAAAGAAGCTACAACAGAAGTAGGTTGTCTTGCTTTTTGTGTTGACTTCACTGTTGTGTTTCCTGTGTTTCTTTCACCACTAAATGATATTTTTATATCTTTATCTTCTTCATCATTTTTCTTAGTGATATAATTGCATTGTGCTTGTTTACAGCATAGCTGCAATATTTGGACCTTTCAGCCGACACATCCAACTTCACCGGGTAGCATTTCCATTTGTTTGGTGAGACATGACGTAGCCTTATTTTTGTGGTGTCCTCTTTGTCCCTTTTTATACAGTGTTGCCCCTGAAGAATCCATCCTGGACAACTGTGTGTAGACTGGTTGGCCCTCAAGAAAAGGCAGGGATCGATCATAAGCATTCCTCACCATCCAGAAGGCTTCCATAAATACAGAGCTGACACATGTCGCTCTAGTCCTGAACTCACCTAAGGAATCATCATGACCTGCATATGACTGCTTAACCTCACATCTGTATTTTGAGCTTTCCCACTTATCACGGGCTGCACCCTCTGGAGATCAACTAAGAGCAGCCCGCAGGTCTAGGAATTTGATGACCACGCATGGGCACAACAGTCTTCTTTAGAATGTTAGGAAAAGATATAAAACAGAACGAGAAGTATATTAGAATGTTAGACACCTTTAATATTGTTGCATGGATACACTTAGCACAATGGTGTAGGTAGGAAAAGCATGCATTAGGATTGGCTCCCCTGATTCGTCTCAACATTCCGACAAGTGGAGCTAGTGGTAGTGGAGATTTGAAAGGACATTTGAACCTTTCTATTAAACTTAAGGACAATTTATGGTCAGATATCTTAACCTTGTCTGTCAAACAGCAGGACATTTGATGGTAACTTTTTGTCCCCACACTCAGATGAAGGATACATAAATGATAGCGGACATTTGAAACTTGCTTATCACTAAGTAAGGCATATGATGGTCAGACATCTAAAATGTTTCTAGTATGCTGTAGGAGCAAACTGTGAGATACCACTCGCATAAGATGTTGCCTGACTAAGCTGTGACAAATCTCGTAGTCTAGGGCTGAGTCTCAATGGTTCACAGTGTGGCGGCTGCTCAGGTGATTACAGCACCCCAATGCCTGACTGACAGACATTTGGGCCTAATCAGCAGTTTAGTTGGAATTTGGGTCAGCAGACCTTTGAACCAAGGTGTGTCATAAAACAGGATATTTGGCCAGCATGCTTCACTTATGTTCCAAATGAGTTTTTGTTACAGTTACATAATTACACTTACATAATTATAGTTTAAAAAATTAGGAAACTTCTCACACCTGATGCATCAGGCATTTAGTGCAAGACTTAGATTCTATTATAAACAAGTTAGCACACAGTGGCTGATGTGGTAAACATCTTGCTGGCATCCTTTGCTTCCCAAAATAGTTGCTTTCTACCTTTTTTAATATGGTACTGTATTGGGTATTAGAACAAATTAAAAAAAAAAAAAAAATTTGAATTTTAAGAGCATGCATCTTCCCTGTAGGAACATACCAATGTGAGAAGTGGACTATCTCCCAGTCCTTAAGAAAGAGAATAGGGGTTTTTGAGCTGAAATGCTATAGAAAGATTCTCAGAATATCTTGGACAAAGAAAAGGAGAAATTCTGACATCTTGAAAAATCTGAACATCAGGAAGATTGGCTAATAAACAGCATCCTGTCACGGAAGCTGAAATATTTTGGCCATATCAAGTGCCACAACGGATTTGAAAAAAAAAATAGCAGAAGGCATGGTACCATGAAGGAGGGGCAGGGGCCGACCACCACGAAGATGGGCACAAGGTATAAGTAACTCTTTGAGTATAAAAGTGCATAAAGCAAGAGAGCTGACGAGAGACCGAGTTTCTTTCAGGCAGACCATGATGAGAGCGAAGTTCTGCAAAGGACCTGCTACGTGATAATGATAACTGTATTGGGAAAATTCCGAGAAGAAATGAGCAGAGAATCACCAAACAGGCTGTAGAATGGGAAATTGAGAGATTGGGAAAACAAGGACGTCCAAAAGAAACCCCAAAGCCAACATTGATGAGAGAAGCCAATGCTGCTGGACCGGATTCCATCCGTGATATTGAACTGATTTCCCAGTATAGAACAGAATGGAGGAATAGATTGCGAGCCCTATGTGACATGTAATGGCACAACAGGACAATGAATGAAAATTTTAATCTGGGTCAACCTGTGGGCCTAATTAATTTATAAAGAGGTTTTTCCCTGTTGTGGATTTGAACCAGAGATCTTCTCATTACACCACTGTAAGTTTCTTTCATACTTACACTTACATATTAATTCACTGACTTGGTTTCAGAATGAGTTTTTACAGAATGTTGTAAGAAAGGAATGTGAAGAAAGATACGAACTGACGGAAGCTTTAAGTGTAGCCAGAAAAGAGCTGCTAGAACTGAAGAAACCTCTAGGTATTTATTGCCACTTCTCTGTTTTTCTGTGTATCATCATTCAATCAGGGGCCGTCTCCATAGTGAAGGTTGGCTGGAATGGATTTCCAACACGCTCTGTCTCTTGTCCTGGTTATACACTCTCTCAGACCGCTGCCCGGCCATCTCTTGATGTTGTCCTCCCACTTGTATCATTGCCTACCTCTTGCTCTCTTGCCTTCAACCTTTCCCTCTAGTATTATTTTTACAAGTGTGTTATGTCTTTTAATGTGGTCAAAGTATTTCAATTGTATCTTCTTTTATTTATTTCAGTAATTCTCTTTTTATTTGTAGCCTTTCCAGAACCTCTGTTCTGGACTGTTTTTGCTTCCATGAAATATGACCTACTGTTCTGTATACCACATCTCCAAAGACTCAATTCTGTGTGTCACCTAGTGTCACCTATGCTTTTATATTTTATTCTTTACAATAAAATTCCTATGGGTAGAGTAGTTCTGTGTGTTACTTTCAATTAATAATTCCTGTTTGCTGGTTAGTTTTGGGTAAGTTCTGTATCTAAGCTTTATTATATTGTTTTTTTTTTTTTTACTGAAAATTGAGGATCCTGGATCAAAGATGCTAAGAATGAGTAGGGAAAACAGAGAAGTGGTGCAGCAACTGATCAGTGGAATTCACCCGTAGGTGATATTATTATGTACCCAGTGCGACGTGCGGAGCTTCATTGTAACAAGTGTAAAGTGACTAGGGGTATCGCAATGTAACAAATGGCATCAACACTTAACATGCCACTGGCCAAGAGTAACACAACATGATGAATGCTGAAGCTTCCAACGTAGCGGAACGAGAACTCTCTTTAAAAGTTCCATTTGTGTATTGACAAATGGCAATGATCAACACAAAGGATACATATGCAATCAATAATCAAGCACATTAACCAAAGCTCGCTCGTACATCCATGGACTGATATGTCCTCACGATAGGTCGCAGTCCGACCTTGAGATCCAGACAATCATCTTTATGTTCAGTTCATCCGTCTGAATTAAATAATGAAGGTATACCGGCTTACTGCCGAAAATGTAACGTTCACCAGCTTCCTGCTGAGGTCTATCTTGGAGTCCCGAGGTAAAGCGTCCTCAAGGATCCAACTTTATATAACGTTTGCTTCCGTGGAATCCCGGGGTAAAGCATCCTCAAGGATCCACACGTCCGTCTCCTTCGGACTATAAACATCAACTGCCTTTGACAACAATGCCTTCACAACGTTACGTATTGTTTTGACGTCTTATTTGCTCACTCCGTACCGGTGCGTTCTAGTGCACATTCGCACGCGACACCCAGATGGGTCTGTAGTGAGGGTTAAAAAGAGTGGGTGGGGTTTTATTGCAAAAGTGAATGGACACTGTTTGACAGCAGAACCTCTTGTATAACATCACAACATCCAGTATGAGAATGGAGCTGAAGGCAGTAATAGCAGCTTTTCAATGGCTTGAGAGCAGCACAGCCTGACATGTTGTGGTTTTAATGGACTCAAAGAGCATGCTTCGGAAATAGAAACTGGCGCCATACGTGTGACGTAGCTTGCAATACTTGATACGACTCAGATCAAGAACATATTCTGGATCTTTCCTGGGACATTAGGATGTGCGGTGTAATGAACAGGCTGATAGAATAGCTGCTGTAACTGCTCCGAGTAGTAAGCTACTTTCTGATAAAGGGGACGGGCTGAAAGCTCCCTGGGATTAAGTGGACAGGGCAGCAGAACAGACAAAGTACCCATGCCTGTTAAGTTCAGCGTGAAGTAAGCCAGGATATTCAGGGTAGCTGGATGGTATTCAACACTGAGGGGAAAACATAGGTTAACTTTTAATCAGACAGCAACTGGCACTTTTAGCATGGGAACTCTTCATTGGCTACTGATGATGGAGATGGAGTACCTGTGGGAATGTCCTGAGTGCAATTATGTCAATTCTCGATTGACTGATTCATTCATTCAACCTGAATATGTGTTTGGTATCATTGAAACATTCACATTATATTTCCCTGCTGGTTGATTGGTTTTGTTGTGTTTAAGTATTATGATCTTGAGTTCTTGGTGATTAGCTGTGTATTGTTACCATTGAACTTTCACAAGTTTTTTCAAAAATTGAGTAATGAGATTTACTTTACACTGGCCAAGACAAAAATGCTGTCAATGAAACAGTACATTATATTTAAACATACAGTATTCATCTGTGAACTGGCAAAAAAAAAAAATGCTCCCTGGTAAGCAGACGACAAGTAACCTACCATCTTGTTTAGCTAGTGAGAGGTGTGGGGTTATGTATGTGGCATGAAGCAAAAAGCCACTTAAATTCTGTAGTCTTCACTGAGACAAGGTTGCCTCACAATTTGTGCCACATTCTTTATCTGATGACCCAAACAAAAATGTGTATGTCTTTCTCCTACCCATTCACTTTAATTTATTTTTCCTCCTGTATGGCCTTTGTAAACTAAGAACAGGGATAGGCATAGTACCAGTAAATGATCTCAAAGAACATCAAAGAATCAACTGGTCTGGACATCTGGTAAGAATTCAACAAAATCAGCCAGCAGCCAGAAAACTCATGAGAACGGCAGGCTACAAGAGGCCAAACAAGAAAGAGATGAGTGGAGGGAGTAAAAGAGATGGCACAGAAGAGCAAGCATGAAATTAACACAAGCTATGCAACTGGCAAAAGACAGAAAACTACATCTAACTCCTCTCTGCGATACTTTATGGCATAAACAGTAGGACAACAGAAGAAGATGGTATTTATAAGATTGGTATATATAGGTTCACTGTGGGCTGTGTGGATTTTTATCGTGGTATGAGATGTCGCAGGTCGACCAAACCTCAAATGGGTATCAAATGGGAAAGTAAAGACGGCCGGCGTAATGCTGACCACATTACCCACCGAGTGCCGATTGGTCTGTAAAATAAATATGGGTGCTCTTTCTATATACCCTATGCGCCTAAGGGCGTGTAAAGGGATCTTTACTTTTTAAAAAAACTTATATATAGGTTAGTGACAATGACCCAACCATTATGCTTACTGTCGAGAAGGAAAGCAATAGCAAACTAACTTCTTTAAGATGCCAAGAATAGCATGATTCGACAACTTACAAATTTCGGTCACCCAAATTTCAGCTGCAATGAGAAAAATGAAAATGTGTCAAAATGCTACAAAGAACAGATACTGTGATAAGCATGTGAGACGTGGACAATAAACAGACATGCTGAAAGACATTTACTCATTGCGAAGATGTGGCTTTTGAGAAGAATGAAAGGAATGCAATGATATAAAAACAAATGAGGCTGTCCTCCATGAGACAGATGAAAACCGTTAACTAACTGCAGAAATTAGATATAGACAATTGGTGTTTACCGTACATGTTTTGAGTTGGAACTAACTTGAGAATTTGGTAATAAATGACAAGATTGTTGGAAAAATTAGCAAGGGGAAGCTAAAGTGATAAATACCTGAAATACTTAGCCATATGGATGGGTTGAGACAAGAACACTGTCCTGATCCCTGATTCTGGTGATAAACCTATGCTTATTAGCCCGACACATGATAATGATAATATATTGTTACTTCTTAGCATTGAATTTATCAGCTTACATTTTTGGCATACTTTCAGGAGGATATTCAAGTGCCCAAAGAAGGTCCAGCACATCGGGCAGTAATTCTGTCAGTCAGTTCTTGCCAAGTCCACCTCAAGGGTCAGTGCCACCTGAAGATCCTACCCAGAAGCTGCGGACACCACTATCCACTAATAATGTTAACCTCAGTTATAATGGTCAAATAAGCAGAAAGAATAGTGGTAGCAGTTTAAGCAGTGAGAAAACAGATGATGCAGAGATAATGAAGAATCGACTGAGGATAGCTAGCATGATGGGAAGGCATTCGTGACTTTATGAGACAATGACTTTGAAAAACATTCACTACTTTTTTTTTCTTTGAGATGCATGAAGATAGCTGCCAACTTAACCATCGAAGACAAAATGAGAAGTGATACTGTCAGACAGACTGTAGGAACAAAACCATGCACCACATTCTTTGAGAAACATCAAGAAAAGATATAAACCCGAACGAAAAGTATATTAGCAAGCTTCACAATATAACAAATACAAACAAAACGTGAACGTTGCGGCTATTGAGCCTTCATCAGCACATACAAATTAAACAATACTACATAGATACACAAAATCACTTAGCTGGTATCTCGATGCGGCCAGGTCGGTTGTTGCTCAGCATAATGACCACACGTGTCAGCCGGAGGGTAATAAATATCCCCCTGTGGAGTATCAGGGGCCATAACTGGGGTGTAGGAATTGAAACTTTGAGGACAGTTCTGAGAAACAGAAGATCAAATGGTATGGACATCTCATTATAATGCAACCAGAACAACTACTAATACAGGCATTTCACATGAAAAGATTTAACGTGAAATCAGAGGTCACCTTAGGAGAATATGGATAGATGATATTAAAAACCTTCTACATCAACACGGAATGACTACAGCTGTTGCTACCTATCAAGCATTGAATTTGCAAATCTTCCTTCCCATGATGCTTAAAGGCAAAAGTGGAATTTGGTGATGATTATGATTTTGAACTTTTTCTTCAAAGTCTTCTCTTTCTTCCTCTTCACTTTCTACCTCTTCTCTGTCTTCTTCTTCTCTCTTCCTTCCATTGCATCAGTGAAGTGTTAGTGGGAGATATAAGGATCTTCTTTACACTCCTTATAATCCACAAAGTAAATTTGTCTTCCTTTCTCTTTCTTCTTGGTTTTTTGTTTTCCCTTGCTGTGTGCTATACTTTTTTATAATTCTGTATCATTTTCACCTTTATGAATCCATGGTTGAGCTCCTTAATCTGGGTCCAGAACCACGCCTGCAGTGCAGAAATCAAATCCAGGCCATTTTTAAAACACCAGTAAAATAGATGCCTCAAACAGAATTAGAATAGATCAAGTGAGAAACAAAGAAATTAAAGAACTATTGGAACAACACCTTTATTCAATGGCTTGGCCATTTAACGACAATGAAGCCAAGGGTGCCAGCAATGAGAGTGTACAAAATGAAAGTAGAAACAGACAGAGGTAGGAACTGACCGTGAAGAAGATGGATTGAAGTAGTTACTATATCGTGAGACTCCACAACATCACAGCATACCAGGCCACCAAGCGTGCCCTAGCTCAGATACCAGTCATCTGTTAACCTCCGATGCTTGGCATCACAAAGAGAAAATGAACTCAAAAAGAAGATAAAACAAGACTCTTCAGTTTTGAGAACAGGAAGAAACAACGTTTTCCCATTGTAAATTTAAATGATGCACAAATAATGACACAATCAATACATTGCTCAATTTATTGCCTGTCAGTTTCCGGTGGATAGACCTACAACAACTAGACAATGTGGTTTATGCATTTCAGTAAGAAACTGAATCATTTTGTGCTTCATTATATATTGATTTAGCTCTGTAGTAGATATAGTGAAATATGCCATGGTCATTTAAAAAAAAAAGGTCAGTTTCCATTAGGACTAGAGTCCTCAACCTTCGGATCTGCAAGCAGGTACCTACCTAACCAAGAATCTGCATACAAATAAGCCATGTCTGTGAAACAGATGTGCACGCAACACTGAGGTTCTGGAGCATGACTAAAATGTGGAGGTGGATGAACATCTAGAACTTTCTGCCAGAGTTTACAGCTGTTGAACGTGAAGAAGAAGAATGTAAACTCTGTAATGTTCAGTTTACTCTTTGTGAATGTAAATAAGGTTACTGTCATAATATTGTTTTCACTCTGTCTACCAAGTAACACAACATGTGTGATCATCTGTTAAATATGATGAATTCTAAAAAGGTGAAGAAATAAGAGAAATATCAGGAAAAGCACTGACATCAGAAGTTGTAAGATAAAGAAGATATCGATATAGTGGGCACATCTTAAGGAGATGTGAACAGAAAATCACCAGACAGGCACTTCAATGAAAACAAATGGACTGAGGAAATTAGGGACGTCAAAAAAAACAACAACAATAAGATGGATGTTGATGGAAGAGGCCATAGGTGCTGGTCTGGATTCCGTCCACGATACTGAAAGTCTGAAAATATAGAACAGAATGAAAGAAAAAACTGAGGGCTTTATGTGTCACATAATTGCACAACAGTATGAGGATGAAGATGATGATAATAGATATTGTCCTTGTATATAAAAGCAATGAATAGTATGCTATTATATCTTTTATGTTTGGTCTTGATATTATAAAAAATCTGGCTAGATATTTTAAGATGCAGCAATCCTTTTTTTTTTCTCTTTCAAAACAGGAATCTAATGCTTTGTTGCATTATATTTAGCATCCACTTAAGGCATCTGCTATAAACTTTTAAAGGACTGAAAATGTTGAATTGTTTGCTTATTGATCAGTCTTCAGCCTGACTGACCTAGGGAAGTTGGATAACAGTTTTGAAAGTTACTAATATTTATCATGCATTGGTACAACCTTGCATCATGTGACAGCATTATATGGATTGTATAGTATTAGTATTCATGTAATTACAATCAACTACATACTTCTGATTTGTTCCATTGTTTCCACATTCCTAATTTTTAATAAAAATATATATTTATATGTCTTTTTACAGATGTTTATGTTAATATTTATTTGACAGATCAACATCCTGGCACATGGGTGTAACCCATAAGTGCTCCGTTCTACTTCTAACTCAAGCCTGAGTTTAAAGAATCTCAGTGCAGTGCACGAACTTTGTTGCACCGGCAAAGATCCTGAAATACTTTGTGTAGATTTTTTAACCTTAAATTTTGTTAGGACTGCACCGTTTGGCTACTTTTTTTGATTTACAACTGTCAAAAGATTTTTTTAAAGTACGCAAGAATACACACGAGCGTCCAATCTTACTACCCAGAGACCAGAGAAAATTACTAGAAGTCCACTTGAAAAAAATCCCAGCCTTCACTGGGGCTTGAACTCTGGACCTCCAGCACCCGAGGCCACTTAGCACCCTTTAAAGAATTAAGTAGTTATGTAGCTTAATTTTATACAACTGCAGTAGGGTCATTTATCACATGCATGTTATAGGACCATGTGGAAGGGAAATAAGTATTGATTAACATTGAAGCTTAGCACGTATGTTGTAAGCAGGGATGGTGACACAAAGAAGACATAGGGAAGTGTGTGAGGGGGGGGGGGGGGGAAGGGGAATTCAAGGGGCCCTAAGCTTTGTTTAAGTGCATAATATTTTAATAATAATATCATTATCAAGTTCCTATGTAGAATGTTGCTGTCATCATGATCCGCCACAAAGAAATGTGGTTTATATCTCTCGCCATTTCTCTTCATGCTCTTTCCCACTCAATGTGTGACTTATATCTGTGTCCATCTTTGTGCTGGTTGGCCCTGCTCTTTTTCCTGGTACCATGTCTTTTGCTTTTATTCTTTCCAATCCGACATGGTTCTCGATATGGCCAGAATACAAGTATTTCAGTTTACAAAACAAGATGATGTTTAGTAGCCAATCTTTCTTGATGTTCAAGCTTCCCAACTAGCAGACCTGCTTCTTCGGACTCAGACTTGAGTTAGAAGAAGAGCGGAGCACTTGTGGGTTACTACCCGTGTGCTATGATGTTGATCCATTGTTCAAACCTCAAACCTCCTGACTAGCAGAAGACAGGAAACTACATCTGACTCATCTCTGAGACACTTTATGGCATAAGCGGTTGGATAAAAGAAGAAGAAGTTGATCTACAACATGCAGGACATTGATCTGTGAAAAGTAATGACCACTTTATAAGGCACATGATGGTGATGATGAGTGTTCACATCAACGACCGGGTCGCCCATTGGCTCTCCAGTGGACGATTTCATCGGCAGTTGGGACAGTATTTGGATCTGTCTCCTGTGATCGCATCAACACTGCAGGAGTCCTTTTCAGGGCTTTTGGTGGCGTGCAGTGGCGCACATATCTTAGTCACAGTTACAACCTAAAGCTCCTCCTTCGGGGATGCTGGTTGAACGTGACGATTTTATATTTATTTTCCCTGCAAAGCGGCTCCCTACCTACGATGATGACTGTTGAACCCAGTAGCATCTGTAGACTAGGGCAGTAACCAATACATGAACAGAGTTACCGTGTCAGTCTAGTTGAAATGATATTGTAAGTAATAAGATGTTAGAGGAATGGCTGGCCCAGTGGGCAGGAATTCTGGGCTTATACTGGAGACCCAGGTTCAAATCCTTGGTAAGGTTGTGGATTTTTTTTTCTGTCAGGGGCAAAAAGTTAACCCTAAGCTACTTAGTCCACAATGACAGCCCTAAATGCTCAGACTCACCCCCCCCCCCCCTTCCACCACCACCACCACCACCTGTCTATACTGCAAAAGTGGTAAATATAGACAGTAAGGGGAGATAAGATGTTATCATCAGGCTGTTCAAGTACTCAGGGCCCGGGCACAGAAAGATTGTTAACTACAATACACCTGGAAATGATCTGCAGGAGACTTGCTAAGCTTCTGCCCGCGGGCCGCCTGTTGAATAGCTCTGCTTTAGGGGTTCAGTGGCCTTATTTTGGGGAAAGGGGGAGGGAAGGGTAAGAATAGACCCAGTGTTCTCTCCCCCCCCCCCCCCCCCCAACAAGCATGTCGTACAAGGTGACTAATTAATTGTTTGTTGAGATTGTGTTTGTTGGGCTGAGAGATGCAGATACTGCGGCCTAGCTGTAAACTACAATTCAACATGCCACTGGCCCTTCTAAGGCCAAATGGAACAGAACCCTGAATCTGTGAATGAGGCTAGTAAGAAATCATTTAACAGAGCTGCTGTGTAAATCTAGAGAACATTCCATTGTGAGGGTTTAGATGTTATCAACAGATAGAATTAAAAATGTTGA